GTCTTGTGTATCTGTACAGCTGTATGTATATCAGTATGTGCATCTGTTTATGTGCAACTGTATGTGTGTCAGTATTTGTATTTCTATGTGTAGCAGTGTGTATCTGCAAGTATGGCATTGTTTATATCTCCATGTGTGTCAGTGTGTGTCTTCATGTGTCAATGTTTGTATTGGTGTATCTGCATGTGTGTCAGTGTTTGCATTGGTGTGTCTGTATGTGCGTCAGTGTATTTATGTTCATATGTGTCAGAGTTTGTATCTATATACGTATGTGTGTCAGTGATTATATTTTTGTGTCTATGTATCTGTGTCTGTATATCTGCATGTGTGGTAATGTTTGTATCCATGTGTCAGTATCTGTGCAGCTGCATGTGTGTCAGTGTTTTTATCCGTGTGTCTGTATGTGCATATTATTGGTGTTTGTATCGGTGTATCTGTATGTTCATGTGTCCCATTGTTTGGATCTGTGTGTCTGTATGTATGTCACCGTTTGTGCATCCGCATGTGTCAGTGTCTGTGAGGGTGTTTGTATCTGCATGTGTGTCTGTATGTATATCAGTATATCTGTTCATCTTTCTTAGTGTTTGTATATGTGTGTGTATCAGTAGTTGTAACGGTGGATGTAGAGAAGCCTTTGATTGGAAGATTTGACAGGCCAAAAGTGCATGCTCTGAGTCTGCAAGAGGAGGGCAGAGGATTCAAAAAATTATATATAGGATGTGATCGGGAGGGCTCTGCCTGCAAGCAAGAAGCAGTTACGTCTGTTGGAAGGGTCCTGTGCACTGTATTTTATTTTTGCACAGAATTTACATTGGGCAACCCAGAAAGAGTTCTGGGCACCCTGAGTCACATGAGCCGGGGGGCACACAATTAAAAATCTCTGGATGTGCAGTGTTTCAAGTTGAAACAGTGTTTCAAATTTCAACTCGCAGCTAGCCAATTCAGTCCTTGGGAGTAGAAAATCATCACTGATGTGACATGAACCCTCCATGGTTACAGTGGAGAGTAACTTAAAGGGACACTATAGGGATTCAGACCACTTCATCTCATTAAAGTGGTATGGGTACAGTGTCACTGTTAACTAAACCCTGCAATATAAAACATGCAATTTTAGAGAAACGGCAATGTTTACTTTTTAATGTTAAGTAGCTGTCTACCAAATAGCCACTAGAGGTGCTTCCTTTAAATAAATTATTTCCTATGCTGAAGGTCTAATGCGTGTTGTACTCGCCATACAGATGCATTAGGTTCCTCCCATTGCCTGATATCGGCGGAGAAGAAGCCTACTAGGCAACGATGAACATGGCTGGGTGTGGCGGCAGAGGGACACTATAGTGTTAGGAATACGGCTTCCTATAGTGTTCCTTTAAGTCCTGGCTACTAGCCTACGACTTTACATTTTAGGCCCTGATCTACATAATACAATAAATAAAGGTTAAGTTTGACACTGGATTGTAGACTTGGGCATTAATTATAGGCCATCGTCTCTTATGTCCAAATTCTGAATGGGAAGTTAAACAAACATCTACCACACAATATTCTTCCATGCGTCATTTGTTCATTCGGATGATCTGTTTGCCCGTTTGCATTACAGTCTGTAATGCAAAATGCTTAACCATCTAAATGAATGAATGGCGCAATCATCCGGTAAGCGTTCGTTTAGCTCACTCTCATATCTGTCACTTACAGATATAATGGGAGTGAGCCAAGCAAACGTGTCATTCATTCATTCGTCCAATTACAATACAGAATGAGGAGAGACATGGGATGGGAGAGTGAGCCGAATAAATGTGCCCTGAAACAATGCGCCATTTATTTATTCTGATGCTTTGCATTTCAGAAAGAGGAAGGACTTGGGAGTGAGTGGATTTTCGTTTGTTCATTCAGCTCACTCCTGTGACATGATGCAGAAGGGCTTGTCCAATAGTGTCTGCCTCATTTTTTGAGGCAGTATAAATGCAGACAGGGAATCCTCCCTTGATGGTGCATTGATCACGACACACTGCTTTTGTGCTGTGCTAATCTCATTGCTTTTCATTGATTCTCTGTGAGACCTGGTGAGCCTGCCATTTCTAATAACTTGTCGAGATCTAAAACAAAAGAAACAGCGCTAGAGAAACCAACACTTAAAAAACAAAAAGGGGCAGCAGACCTATGGTAGGGTTCCCGCTAAGCCCTACTGATAGGAATATTACAAAAGTAAAAAAGGGAAAGGTTGCGCCATCCGTGTGGAGAAACCGAGAAAAGGTTATAGTGCAATAAGTCCAATACAGAAGTCGTCTAAAAGCAATACGGTCTAATGTAGTCCTACTCACGTTTAATAGAGCTATAAACCAGCTCTAGCATGAATGGCATACAGTTGTACAATCCCCACTTATCGGATACGTGATGTGATGAAAATATGCAGAAGTTCGCAGACCATAAAAACATAAAAAGAGGAGACCACTAATAGTGCTCACTGTATAAAATAATATAGTAGGAGTATAGTAATCTAAGTGTGTACTCATATGTAATTGAGCAGGCGGACTGCTCAATGAATCAGGCGTGAGTGGTATAATCCCCACCTAAGATTTCTTTGGAATCATAAAATCTGTACATATTAATGGTGATTTGAACAGAATTAAGAATACATGTACTACATAAGAGGTAAATAAAGAGTTAATATTAAAACTGTTAAATGAGAATATATTGGAAAATAAACATGTATCCCTCACCCCAGAAGGTTTAAATGTAGACTTTGACCTTTTTAACTTTTTGTAATATTATATTAACTATAAATGTTTATATTCCAATATATATTCTAATTTAACAGTTTTAATATTAATGCTTTATTTACCTATGTATTATTTGTATTCTTAATTCTGTACAAATCACTATTAATATGTACTGTATTCCTATTCAATACCACTACATCAGTAGTGCACTTCCCTCTTAATTAGAAGGTAATTTCCTAAGCCACCTACCCTCTCTAAATTTATATCAATTGAGGGGACCAAAAAAAACAAAATATCACAACATAAAAAGATTCTTTAATATTAAAAATGTATTTGTTTCTATTTCTTTTTATATTAAATCAGAATTTGTATAAACCTTCTTAGTATTTTAGCCTTTTGCAGTCTACCACGTCCCCTTTTCAAACTTCCCCAATATATTTAATTTTCATAACTTACTAACACTACATTTCCCACTATTCGCACTGGCCCAAGACCATTATTTACGCCCCCTTCCTCTCCAACCACTCCCTCCCCTCATAGCAGCTTGATCTGCTTCCTCTTATTCTAAGCTAAACTCTGCCTGCGGCCGCTAATCACGCCCCCTCATGTCTCTATCTTACTCTAACTACATTTCCCATACTGCAAAGCGGCATATTCAGATTTAAAAATAGCCACCAATCACATGACCATTTTCAATTACGTTTTAAACACTTGTAAGGCTCATTTTAAAGCCAAATTTTACACACAAGTCCTCTATATAAAACTTGCTGTATGTATTGTTTTGTATTTTGATTATGTAATTTTTTTAGCTATGAAGCCATTCAAGCATCGTTTTAATTGCTTTATTTCCAATCCCCTATATAAACCATGTCTTTTTTACCTCCACTTCAAAAAACTATAGGTGAAACACGTGGATATTTTATATTGTGTTAAATAAAGGTACTTTGGTTACTTTTACACTACACTGATTTTACGTTATCACCATTTGCTACAATTTTAAAACTTTTTACTGACGCTGCTTGGCATCCAAACTTTATGATTCCTGTTGAGTATTACTCCAAAGAAATCCTAGGTGGGGATTATACCACTCACGCCTGATTCATTGAGCAGTCCGCCTGCTCAATTACATATGAGTACACACTTTGATTACTATACTCCTATATTTTATACAGTGAGCACTATTAATGGTGTCTTTTTACGGTCTACAAACGTCTGCATATTTTCATCACGTATCCTATAAGTGGGGAATGTACCACCGTATGCCATTCATACTAGAGCTGGTTTATAGCTCTATGAAACGTGAGTAGGACTACATTAGACCCTATTACTTTTAGATGACTTCCATATTGGACTTATTGCACTATAACCTTTTCTCTGTTTCTCCACACAGATCCCTCAAGCTGTTCCCATCCAACTGCAGAAAGCATTCTATCCATAAGACTGTTGGCTTTCCCCTGTCAAGATTTTATCTAGGACTTCATTCGGTATCTTTTGTGTTTTGATTTTACATCCGTATTGCACTCTTTATATTTACGTATTTGTTTTTTGGTGCAACCTTTCCCTTTTTACACTTGTCCTAAAATATTTTTCATTTCTGCTTTTTCCTTGAGTTATGCACTGCTGTGCTGCTGGCTGTGTCAGAGAGCCTGCCTTCCCTATTTGCTGTACTGCCTGTACAGCAACCTGGTTGTTAAAAATATTCTATTATATACAAAAACATGTATTCCTGACACTAACTTATTAAAAACTGAGTTTAGGTTGTTTGCTCCTCTTGCCCCAGTTAAAAAGGTAATAAATTTACCTTTATTCTAGCAATGCCTAGGTTTACTGTGGCTGGCTCTGCCCAAACTATGCAAAATTGGCACTCTCAGCCAATCCAATGCATTCCCATAGGGTAGCATTGGGTGGCTAATGCACGAGCGACAAATTGCTGCGCTGTGCCAATCAGCATCTACTCAGACATGCGTTTAACCAATGCATCTCTCAGGAACGTTCAGTGTCTCCATGCAGAGCATCGAATAGTGCAGCTGTATTTTGTGAAGAGGTGCCTCCAGACAATGTAGCAAATAAATATGCAAACAACTCTCCTAATATACTGTGCATTAACTGATTTTCAGTGATATAAAATACAAACGAATGTATATAATGCTTATACACCATACATTAATTTGTAAGCACTGTATAGCCGTTGTCTTGAAGTTGAAAGGAGAAACACAAAGGAATGCATACAAACATGTAGTATTAAGATGACATTAATACGAAAAGCAAGTATAAATACTTTTTTCCCTTTTTTCAAATGAAGCACATGACACTGATGGAGTAGGAACCAATTGTTTTACTTGAATTCTACACAAAGTATTAAACCCAACAGAATTTAAAATATAAATCAGTAACGCATGGTAACACTATGAAAGGAATATTAACAATACAGAGTTCATAGCCTGGAGCAATTGTAGATTAAAGATTGAGAATTGTGGGAGTTAATTTCTATAAAGACCTAAAAAGTAGATTTTTACTCCTAGGAAAAGATGAATGTAGGTGTGCCTAGCCCAATATCTTGATTCAGTATTTTACGTGAGGTGGAAGATAACTCATTTATTAAATATGAATGTGCAAAGTTATATATACCATATTAAATATGGTAGTGCCAACAAACAAAATCGCACATTTATGAGCAATGCTTCAGCTGTTGCCGCTTGCCTAGGGACAATAATGGGCTCATTAATGAAGGCATTATTTTATTAATTCTTTCAAAGATCAGGAAGAAATGTAAAATCTATACACAGACTTTGCAAGTCCTGTATCCTCACAACAGTATTTTAAAAGGTGCAGTCCAGTAAACTCTATAAAGGGGGGGAATAACAATGAAGAATTTTATGACAAATAGAAGTATAAATGAAATTAAAAGAAAAGGAAAAAAAGCCAATCATGTGGCTGGAGGCGTAGAATGAAGTGGAAGACAACTTGTAAACAAAGAAGGTGCTAGAATACATATGCCAAATAATGTGAAACAGTTTAATAAAATTCATGAGTCAGGGAGACGTGGAACTTCACCTCTCTCAACAATTTTAAGAGAAGATTGCAAAAGCATCTTTTAGGGTTAATTTTTCCTAAACCTGGAAGGAAAAGAACGGTATAAACTTCGATGTGCATCCCCCCACACCAGCACAACAGTTACCATAACAAATATTAGAGGTCTATGTGAAAGAAGAGAGCTTATAATCTCGTACCCCAACTATAAAATGGGGCCTTGAACAATACTTGAAAGTGAAGTTGGGAGTTACCCATAAGATACAGTAGGGGACCGATAATCCATTAAATTTCCCCCCCTCCCCCCCAAATAACAGAAAGCTAGGATTAACTTGTATTGCGATGAGGGAAAACAGTCTCATGGGATCTGGAAACAGACCACATAAAAATATCAGAGTAGCTAATACCCTAAAAAGATATGTTGCCCCAAAGAGGGGAGCGTGACAAGATATACAACCACAATATTACGACGTATATATTATATACATAAAGGATACCCCCATCCATAGCCCTCACGTTATGCCGAACTTAGGTACATAGGGCAGATAATGGGCCAATTCAGTGGACTGAGCAATTTAAAAAGATGCCTGGGATCTTGTATGAGGTAGGTGGGCAGCTGAGGTGGGTTTCAACACAGGAATAGTTTATAGTGATGTTACCTAAACAGGCACTTACCAGTTAGTGCTGTCTGAACATTGTATAGTTTTAATCTCAAAGGAGCTGGAGAGCTATAGATACAAGAGACAGAGTAATGTCCAACCAAATTACAGTCCACCCAATGCTAGTACTACCATACAGTTAGAGATGGCAGTGCCGCACCTAATCACATAATCCCAGAGACTACTCAAACACCTCACCAACTTTAGTGTTCACATAAATCTGTTTTGGTCATAACCAAAATCTGAAAATTACACCTATTGTTATATATTAAGTCTACAGTTCACTCCTGTCAACAGAATACAGTCATCAACTTTGTTTTAGTAACTTACTCTCCAAACCACATTCCCAGTAACTATTTGAAAGAAAAATCAACACTGTGTCATCCTTTAACATATTAACTGGTTAAAAAAAAAAAAAAAAACACTGAATCATTCACCCAAGACACTTACCAATTTCATGCATCTTTAACATAATTATTTCACAAATTAGCTCACTAAATGTTACTAAGCAAGTGGATAGTAACTGGATTTTGAAGGAGGATTAAAAAGCCAATTCTGGACATACTAATTAAAAAAAAAAAAAAAAGTATTGAAGAGTGTGTGCTCTACAGAGACTTTACTTGGACAGAATAGATAGACCACACACAGCAGCAAGTTTGATATTTGAGCCAAAAAGGTGAGCATTCAGACTTTTGAACTCTTAAAACTAAAACCAAGCAAAGTTCAAATGGAAGAAAGCTGCAGTTGCAGGAGAGCTTGCACACATAACCATAAGGTATGAGCAAGAGTTTGAAGGCGAGGGAGGTATCAAGAGCTGAAATAGTGTTTGTTTACACAATAAAAAAAAAATAGGTAGCAAAGAAGTTTGCACAAGTATAACGGTACACCACAAAGTATATATAAGTAAACTTACCACCAACAAAAAAAAACTACTTAACTGATGAGTGGTATCTGTATGAGCTTCCCAAAAGGAACCCACCAGTAGGTATGTATACCTTTACATTCAAGTGAATGTCAAAAAATATATACAGGAAATTAGCAGTTTCCTAGAATACAAATAAACACAACATAGTGCAATACTGTAAACATTAAATAGCGCTAGATAGAATTGCACTCACGAGATATTAATGCGCACAACAGGTGCCTCCCCTGATTACATGAGAGCTAGTGCCCAGTGTCTCCAACCTGCTTTCTTCACAGGCAAGGAAATCCAGCAAGATGGTAAGTGTGTAAAAAAAAAAAAAAAACAAAAAACCTTTATCATAAAACAATATACAAAACATGTCCAACGTGGTTCTTCTTCTTGGGGACTATCTCAGAGACAGAATAGCAAAAAAACAAACAAACATAAAACAAGTAAAGTGCAAAGGAATCCAAGTTTTGTCCAGACCTTTTATGCATATTCTTTTATTAAATAACACCCCACACACACACACACACACACACACACACACACATTTACACATTGCTGGATTCCCTTGCCTATGGAAAAACGGGCAAGGGAACTAGCCCCCCCATATAATGTTTTTTTTTTCTTTTATTAACACGCCAACATCTCATAAGTAATTCTATCTAGTACTATTTAATATTTGTTTACAGTATTACACTATGCTGTGCTCATTTGTATTTTAGGAAACAGTTGACTCCCTGCATATATTTATTTTGCTATACACATGTAAAGCGGTAGCAACTGCATGATTGGGTAAAACAAAATTGTAAGCAAAAGACGAAAACAAAAGACAGCTCATATGCCAAAGTATAGGTCACAAGCAAAATGGTTTGAGCGCTTTAATAGGGATGTTTGCGCGCAGAGAAACGGGGATGTAACAAGAGAACTTGTATGCAGAAAAGGAGAGAGAATCAGCTTGGGTGCAAATGTCTAACAAATGTTTCACTTTTCTCTCTGCACATGTACTTAAGATAGTCTTCACAATCCTGTAAGTATCCCCATAAACCATACCATTATTTAATTTCTTTTCCAGGAGCTACAGATGTTGGAATTTAGAATGGAATGAACGCTCCACAGGATCTCATTCAACCCACATGGTCTCTTGCTAGGTTCTAGAAAGCCTGACCAAATTCATGCCATAAATATATTGTACAGATTCTTCACTTTATCACAAAAACTACACATTCTCCACCTGATCTTTATGAAATGCACCAGAAACACTGAAAGCTTAATTTTTATGCCTTTGCCACCATGCTCAGGCGATTACAATCTATATACAAATCTGTGTGGTTCACTTGGTCCCTGAATGTTGGCACCTATTGAGCTTTTGTAGGCTCTGGTTGAGCTGGAGAAGCTAGAGCTTGAGGACTGGGAGATTTTGAGAAGTTCATTTCTAAGATGTGATGTTGCAAATGACGAACCCACTGCTCCTGGATGGAAAGAGGGCCCTGGAATTGTATGTCACAGAACCTGCATAGGGAGAGAGAAAGAGGGAGAAACAAAAAGCATTAGTCAAAGCTGCACAATTGCATAGGCAGGAGTACAAAGATGAGAAGACATAATATATCCAAGTCTAGTGAAATGCTTTTTCACACCTGCACAGAAAGTTTGATAAAATTCATTAAGCACAGAAAAATTAATCAGACACTGTACTAGTTAAAAAACAGAAAATCAATGGTAAGGAGGATAGAAATGCATGATTAAAGGAACACTTTAGGATCAGGAAAACATTTATTCCTCACCCTGCAGTGTTAAAAACACCATCTAGCTGCCCTGGCCCTTTTAAATACAGTAGACTCTTACGTTTACTCCAGTCTGCTGCTTTTTGGCTCTGCCCCAATTTGCCTGCTTGGCTGACATCAGAAGTGTTGATCCCATAGGAAAACATTGGATTGGCTGAGACTGTCAATGAGGCAGATCAAGGCAGAATCAGCACAAGCCAAACACAGTCTTCAGAGATGCATTGAATCAATGGATCTCTATGAGGAAAGTTCAATGACTCCATGCAGAGGATGGAGACATTGAATGGCAGTGCTGCCCATTGTACAGCATTGCCCCAGGAAGCACCTTTAGTAGCCACCTGAGGAGTGGCCAGTTGAGGTATCCCTAGGCTGTAATGTAAACACTGCCTTTTATCTGAAAAGACCATGTTTACTACAAAAACCCTGAAAGGAATGATTATACCCACAGAGCTAATACAATAAGTTGTAGTTCTGATGACTAATGTATACTTTTTTTTATTATAAAGTACTGGTAAACCCTTTAAAATGCCAGTTTTTTTTTTTTTGGGGGGGATGGCAGAGCCAAGTAGCTTAACTTGAATGGCCACATGTTGGAACTGCTCTGCATCAACAAGCCAATTTAACTGATTGCGAGGCGTAAAACCCTTCCCACTGGTACCCCAAACGGGTCCCTGGGCAGGAAACTACACAATGGGTCGAAAGACCACAAAAAGCTAAGCCAGATAAGTCAGGAATGAGCATGAGTATAGCAGACCTCTAGCAACAGGCTCAAAGCACCATGGATCCCAGGATAGCCGCCTTTGCAGATAATGGCTCTGATATTTCAGACGATTTCTCTGACGGGGAACATACCTACGCTAGCGGCTCCCAAGCCGTCACCCTTGCCACCAGACTCTGCCCCAGTCACAACGGCGATCCTTCAACACGTGGCCGAAATCTGGCAAGACTGGAGAGTGCTGACAGGCCGCATGGGCACACTGGATCAAGATAGCCGCCAAAATGCAAACCCGGATGCAGAGCTACCACACCTTGTGCGACAACTACTTCTGGGCCTTCTACCACCCAAGCAAGCGAAAGCACTAGAAACAGAAGGTATGCTCCGCTTACCAAAACATGTCAGGACCCCATCCTTGACAACAGGAGACCTGCTGATCTGGTTTCAGAGGGCAAAGACATAACAGCAATCGTAAACCGTTCACCATATTTGAGAGCATGTCACTCTCTTGGCATGGCCAGCCCTTCACATCCCTGTTACGAGCAAACAATATCAAGTATCGATGGAGAACAACCCGCACCCAGCAGGTACAACATGGTGACACCCCGAACCCTATCCAAGATCTACAGGGCATAAAAGTACTACCTCCTTTAGGGCTACCACAAGACTCTTTAGCTACCGATAGCCACTCACATCTGGAATCCAGCTACCGCAACACCATTCGTCCCCCTGGGGGATGGAAACCTATGCAGCAACCACCACAGACTCTGCAGAGACAGGTCGTTATTTCCCAACTATACCAGCTCACCACTACCATTTACTATTTTGTTTTTTTCTCTTAGGTTTCAATGTTGCCAGCTTGTTTTGTTCTATTTCATTATTTTTTTTTTTATTTTTTTTTATAGCTTATCTTAGCCTCTTACACTGCAAGTATCTTTAAGCTCTACCGTAATGCAGGGCAAAAGGCACTAACAGGGCCAGGCAACATAGACATCCCAACATTGGAATCAGGGCCTACAATTAAATCCAGATGTGCAACATATCTTTCACTTTGAGACTATAGTGTTTACCTTTCATTTCATCTCACTTTTTCTTTCCCTTTACAAAAATGTGTGTGTGCTGATTTCAGTGTTATACGAAAGGCCACAGCATTGTCTTTCCAAAGACATATGTTGATCTTGATATTAACATGCACAACAAAAATAAAGAATTTAAAAAAAAACAAGCAAATATTTTGATAACTACACTGTAAAAAAGCTAAAGGGATCTAATTTTACATTGTCTGCTTCAAGGGGAATGATCTTTGAAGATAACCTTTGCAGGAACACTGCGATTGGCCTGGTACAGCACAATAAAAACTAACCAAATAAATGATAGAAAAATGTGGATTATCTAATTATTATTTTTGCTATCAGTCAAGACATGGAATCACAAGCATGCCCTGACACAAACACACCAATGACTACAATAATCTGGCTATTCTATTAGTTTGCCAACAATTTGGGTAGCATGGATTGAAGATTACACTCTGACAGTTATCAGACATTCTCAATTGTACAGAGATTTAAAAAGTATGTGAAATCAAGAAAAACAAATTACAAATATTTCAACAAGAACAAATAAAAGACAAAACCCTCACCTGCACTTCAGTGTGTAAATGTTTCCCACAAATTTCACCAAGGATGTCTGAGGGGGCCTAGGAACAAGGGAGGGAACTGGCCGTGCTCTAGGTGCTGGCCTTGGTTCCTCTGCTTTGGGTAAAGATTCTGTGATTGAATCTTCTCGTGCCGGAGGGACCTCTGCAGCCTTTGTTGGACGTCGTTCTGTCTCTGAAAGAGTATTCAATGAAATTCAAATTACCTGTTACTTCTCCGTCCAATAAATAGGATGGTCACTTTTAAGAATACAATATAAAGAAAATCAAAATCTATAAACCAAGCCATGTATGATTTTAGACTTACTGTGTCCTTGTCCTTCTGACTTTTCCACCACTGTCCCAGATGTTCCAAGACTGCGTTCTGCCTCAACCATCTTACCAGGCACAGCACATATTGAACTTTCTTTCTCGGCAGCCCCAGCTTTAGGATTCTGAGAGGACCGTTTGAACTTTTTGGTGAAGGGCCTCCCTCCTTGAATGTAACTCAGATATGCTCCGGCCTTTTGAGGACGTTGCTTCATCCACTCTCGAAGAGTCTCAATAGGCGAACCATTGACACACCATTCAGTAACTCCAAACTGACGCAAATGAGCACGAGCATGGCTTGCAAGAGCCTTCCGATTCTCAAAGTAGAGGCCACACAACTCACAGCAGGCTTCCACTGTGTGGCATTGAGAAGAATGAACAGAAAATAAAAACAAAGAAACAATGGTATTAATGGGAGTTAAAGCATAGAAATACTTTAATAATGAATTTCTTTACAGTGCACACAATTAAGAAAGGCAGAGGTTTAAGGAAGAAGGAATGTTAGCGTTCAGGGAGGGGAAAGACAAGCACATCAATTTTTTTTACAAAAAGTTTAACAGTGGATTTATGAGATGCACAAGACCCATTACAAAGTGTCTAAAATGTATAAACTGTGCAGGATCTGATTTAGAGTATAAAGCAGTAAGGACAGGACATCAAAGTAAGAAGAGCATGAATGATTTAAACAAGAGCTCTGTGCTGTAGTGGGCAAAGTAAGAAACACACAGATGTATCAATCCTATTATTGCCATCTAACATAGCTTGTACAATGTAAGGTGTACTGGCTCAGTTGTGTTTAAGATATGGAAATTTCAATATGTCCAATGTTGGACTTCTACTACCCTTTCTAATTTTTGCAGTATGATATTTAAAAAAGTAAACTTACATGAAGTAGGTGCCTTGTCTGGAGAGGACTTCACCTTGACCTTAAATGGAAGTTCTGTTTGAATGTACGCCTTGGGCTTGCCATCTATGTGAGCATATGCCTTAAGCTTGCCTTCACCTTGAAGATAGCCTTTTGGTTTGCCTTCACCATGCAGAAAGCCCTTTGGCTTGCCTTCACCATGCATGTATGGTTTTGGTCTGCCATCATTTTGAGAATATGGTTTGTGCTTGATTTCACTTTGTCCATAAGGCTTGGGCCTTTCACCCGGCATATAGGTCTTGGGTCTTCCTTCACCTTGCATAAATACTTTCGGTCTTCCATCACCCTGAATGTAAGATTTTGGACGTCCTTCACTCTGGACATATGCTTTGGGCCTACTCTCATCATGCATGTAAGATTTGGGTCTTGCTTCACCATGAACATATGCCTTGGCTTGAGACTGATTGCAAGCCTTTTGTTCTAGATGGACATAGCTCTTTGGCTCAGACTGGGTAAGTCGTGGTTCATGAGAAGGTGGCCTCTTGGCAGGTAGTGGAGACAGAAAAGTATTGTGCCGCCCAAGAGGTGATATAGCCATCTCTCGAGCCATCCCTGAAGTACTCATGCCATGTTGGGAGTGTGTGTGAGTGGGGCTGTTAGGTTCTTCACCTCTTGGCTCTTTTTTAATATTTGAAAGGTGTGGAGGTGGAGGACGCCTCTTGCGTATGATTTCCCTCAGTGTGTCGATTGGTGAACCATTTACATGCCATTCTGTAATACCCATCTGGCGCAGGTGAGAGCGTGCATGGCTGGATAGACCCTTTCGGTTCTCAAAGAATTCATTGCAGAACTCACAGCGAATATCCCTTGCAGGATCTGCTCGCGAGGCTAAAAAGAGAGGACAGACGGATATGAAGTACAGAAACAAACATAAAAAAGAAAGTAGGAACATTTGAAAAAATATATACTACTTAAATAGGGTTATGTTAACAAATAAGGGTAAGGAAAGCAAAAAAAGACAAAAGGAAGAAATGTTGGATTCCCAAAAACAACAAGTAAACAAAACACATTTGAAAGAAAAAAAACATACCCAAGAAAAAAAAAAAAAAAATATGAATTAAAGAGCCATTGAAAAACCTTAAGTTTAAATCTTTTTGACACAAAATACATATGCAGCATATTTTACAAGTTTGGCTAGTGATAAGAGTGCATCTTGCTATTCCATCTTTATAATAATGCTATTATTGATGTATAGCTGATCTCTGATGTCTCAGTTGCTACTTTAAAATTATTATTACAAACAACATTTGCACATGAATAAAACTGGTTATTTCAAAGCTGAGAAAGGAAATCTAAGCCTCACATTTCCTCAGATATAATCTATTTGAAAGTAAGAAATAAGGGGGTTTAAAAATAAAAAAACATGAATCCTACAAATCCTAGTTTACAAATTGCCTCTCATATGTAAATCACAAGACTATTCAATAAACCCAAAAAAGATAACCGGGAATAATTTAGAGAAGAAAAAAAAAAAAAAAAAAGCTATAAAATGGGTTAGATTTACCTAATAAAAATGAAAACATCTTGTTCATATTAATGCAAAGCAAACAGCTTAAAACAGACAAAACTAAAATAGCTATAACATGTGAAAAGCAATTCCCTAAAGGTTAGATCATCTCAGCAAACAACTGATTAGGGTGAAGTAGTTTATGATCACTGGAAATGAGGTACAGCAGGATGTTTTAATACTATACCACCAAGGACTTTTTATAGCAAAAATGTAAAATACACTTTTTTTTTTTTTAAAGAAGGATCAGTTCATAAATTGGGAACAGAGCAGTACAAGAAACAGCCATTTTGGAAAATGCATCTCAGATGTCTGCAATGAATAAAATTACTTCCTCGAAATTGTCAATCTTAGAATTCACTCTTCATTAGTGTTCTCATCCTGCAATGAACAAGCAACATCAATTGCATCCTAAGCAATTTCAGGCATTGGCTAGGCTTTCATACGGACTAGGAATCAAGGAAGCTGCAGTTCTACAACAGCTGAAGAGCTAATGGATTGCTATACATACACTGCTCAACAGTGCAGTGTGAGTTTAACCAGTAATCCTACAGCTGTTAGACTGCAACTTCTCAGTCATCTACATATGCAGGACCTCAACAACTCTGGTCTAGGATCTTCCAAAACGACTGTTTTCCTCAATAATAACCAACCTTTTCCAGCTGCCCAATTAATTGCAAAGGCATTTTGAAGAGCTAGGAAGGGTGGAATGAAGGATGAATGCGACAGACAAGATTGGAAGCAAAAGATGAGTGGGGGGGTACATGTCAGCTGCAGGTCAGTGGCCCACTTACACAAGTTGAGAGGTGAGAGGTCGGAGGGCCAATCATTGGTCTGGTAGGAGGGGAGCCGGTGTGGCTTGTGCTGCATGGTTGGAGCCAACCCACTGTAAGGCATTGGCCTGGAAGGGGAAGAGGGAGGAGGAAGTGAGTGGTGCTTCTCCGAGTTGGGGTCTCCGACTCTGGTGCCCGCCCTGGGACAGGTCCCACTGGCCAGGATCTCTCGCAGGGTGTCGATGGGTGAGCCGTTGACATGCCACTCTGTGACACCCATCTGGCGCAGGTGAGAGCGTGCGTGGCTGGACAGGCCCTTTCGGTTCTCAAAGAACTCGCCGCAGAACTCGCAGCGGACTTCCTCCGAACCCGGGGCTGGAGGAGGAGGGGATGACAAATAAAATTTCTATGCTTGAAAAAGGGAGTACTAAGCTGATTTAGCAGTAGGGATATCATCATTGGTAAAAAGGAGAGACTAAAATATGCAGAATACCAAGTACATATGCCGTCTTAAGAATAGCATTTAAAACAATACGGCCCTGAAGTCTGCTTATGCTATATTGGATTTACTGTATCAGGAAACATGGTGGATTACAAATATATTAAAACATTTAAACCAAGAATGTGGGGCTTTCCTGAACATATATATATGCACATATCATTAGCCTATTGAAAATAAAATAGAAATTTAAAAAAAAAAAAAATAAATAAATAAAAAAAAAAAATCAATCAAATCAAAACCAATAAAAACCAATTCTTGAACTGCATACATGTGTATACACAGTTCCATAAAATTACAAATACATATTAACGGTTTCACAGTAGATTATATAGCAATTGGTAAAATGGAACTAAAGCAAGGGGTGAATTATGGCATGGGCAGCCAGGATGAAGGAAATACAAAAGCCAAAGCAGATATGGAAAGCAGTCAGCCATGGTGATAACTGCAAGACAATGTGGATTTCACATCAATAACATTGTGAGATAAGTGAAGCAGAGTAAGGCAATACTGCAAGAATGGGGGTGTGGGGGGAGGATTTGGGCCAAAGCTATTTAAAGAATATATACACACACACACACAGACAATACTTCAGGACTTAAAAGGAAGACATTAAACTAGGTACTCAAGGGCAACAAACCTGACAGGACATGACGATTTCTTGAAATATGGTATACTGCAACTACTACAGTGATAAGCCACTAGGTAATGCTGCCCTATATCTATACAGTAAATTCAATGCTGGATTTGCAGCCTTTGAGAACTCTATTCAGGATGCCCTGCATTAAGTAAAGGTCTGTAAAATCACAATCCGAGGACATTTAAAACTTCAAGTTAAAGAAAAATCTAGGGTTGCATATTCTTGGCTCCTCGTTGTATTGTAATGTTATTAAGCAGTCTAGCTTCGAAAACAAATGCAATCTCCAGACATCAGGATGGTGCACCTTGCCTGGAACACATAGGTTAACAAATCACCAAGGTTAAAAAAAAAAAAAAAAAAAATCTTGCCACAGTGGTGGGAAAAAAGTTGCAGATAGCATAGATGACTACAGTGGTACCTTGGTTTACAAATTTAATGCGTTCTTCGGGACGTTTTGTATTGCGAGAAATGTGTAAACCGTAACGCGGTTTCCCATAGGAATGCATTGAAAACCAGTTAATCTGTTCTGGAGGTCAGAAAACAGTCAAAATGAGCTAGCATGGAAAAAACCCACAATGCAGAACACCGTAAAAGGCATGCTCAGTTCCCTACCTTTCCACCACTTGAGAAATGCACCAAAAAAGTTCAAAAAAGTCCCAAAACCACTGCAAAATACTTTCAGAATGGCTCCAAAACTTGATGCAAAAGCCACTCCAACACCTCCACACTCGACGCCACATGCTACCCACAGACTCCAGCATGCACAGGGTGGTGCTATAAACATCCCAGGCACAATACGTCCTGGGAAAACTTGCTTTGTATTGCGAAAAAAGTTTGTAAACCAAGGCATTCATTTTCAATTCATTTTCATTTGTAAACCGAAAATTATGTTAACCAAGGCGTTTGTAAACCGAGGTACCACTGTACATTTAAAGCTGATTTAAAACAGCCAAATTTAGATGAAAACAGCCCCAGGAAATAGATAAGCCACCAGTTATTGCATATGTATTAAGAGAACAGTGTACAATACAAACATTCTATCTTACTTTGGCTAGGTATTGTTGATGAAAGCCTGAAGAACTTACGATTTGTTTTAAGATAAACTGAAACAAAAGAAACTGGATGCTTAGGGTTTTACTGATTAAGAAAGGAAAAAAAAAAACCTTGTTAAGCATGGCCACCCAGGATTTTTTGATTTTATGATTTTGACTTTAAACTGTGCTTTGGAACTCATGATCAGACCTGTTATAAGAACAAGATGCTAAATTCTGCATTTTATAAGTATAGGTAACTTTACTAAATATTGATACTCTATTTTTATTATTTACTTATAATCCAAATAGAACAGTAAATATATAGTCAGTAAGAGAAAAAAAAAAAAAATCTACAAAATTATGCAAGAAGTGGAGAGAATTTTTTTTTTAATAACCTGAAAAGCTTATTCTTTCATATTAACCACTTGAGTGCCAGTGAAAATGGCAAGGGTTTCACAGTAAATATGATACAGTTTTCATTAGAAAGGGTGTGGGGATAACTAGTAGTATCGGACATGCGACGGGTCAGCACCACTTGTCTATTAGGTTGCACTGACTATTCTTCAGGATAAGTAAATTGGAGAATGGTTATAGAAAATATCCTTTCACATAAGAACATTATATAGAAAATATGAGGGCTTGCATAAAAACCAACTAATTTAAAAAGTTCTAGTCCCAAAAAACTTCAGGATATAAGTGGAACTAGCACATTTGACTTGTTCATTGTATTTACAACACAATCTAGCAAACAAATGAATTATAAACAACAACTAAATGTAAAAAAACAAACAAGCAGAGAACAACAAAATAAAAATTTCACTTTTGGTGGAATGTAATAGCCAATGACAGCAGTAGATTAAGTGGGAAAAAAATGCATACCAACAATACTCCCTGACAATGCTGGACAATACTTACACAGGTTCAGAGGAGATGAAGAGTTGGTGCTTGCCCAGAAAGACTCCATAGTAGATGGAATGTTTTTTTGTTTTTTTGCAGGTGGTGTGGCAGGAGGTTGTGGTCGAGAATGGGTTAGGCTGGCTAGGGAAGCCTTAGAGTGGGTTCCAGCCTCAGATAGCTTGTTTTGGGGGCGCCTAGCTTCTGTCTTCACATGGGTACCCATCTCAGAAGACATGGCATGAGGCACTCCAGCTTCAAGTATTTTCATCTGAGTACTCCTTGCTACCCCACTGGGGCTCTTGAAATGTGCAGAAGTTTCTTTGGCCATGCTGTCTGCGGGTGTGGAATGGGCGCCATCTGCAGATCCCTTAGCGGCACCATCAGCACTCTTCCCTTCTGACACCTTGGTAAACAAGCCAGTTTCTGTCAGTTTGGTATGAATGTTGCCATTACTAGTTTCTGTTGATAGCCTTTCACCAGGAGCATTGGTGTGAGTATTATTTCCAGATTGTGCTTGCTCAGACAGCCGTTTCTTAAAGTCTTCACTTTTAATTAGAGAATTGAGAGCAGCAATAGGGGAGCCTTTGGCATCAGGATCAGTCACCCCCAAATGTCGTAAGTGAGCACGGGCATGACTTGAAAGGCCTTTACGAGTCTCAAACCATGCACCACAAAACTGGCAGTCTGTGTCTCTGCCAGGTTCCCCATCCATGGCTGAAAAGGAAAAAAAAATAAAAAATACAGGGGAAGGGAAGAGATGGTCAGACTGTGATGTATGAATGCATATAGAAAGAGATGGTGCAATTGGAGGAAGTTAATTATTGCCTTATATAGGGTTATAAAGCACAGCAACAGGTGGGAAACCAAGGAAAGAGTGAGATGATATGGAAATCAGAGGGAATGGAGGGAGACAGTAATGGGACAGACATACAGAGGATAAAGCGAGTTGGGAAAAAAAAAAAAAGCTAAGATAAGCTGAATATTGCTAGAGATGCCTGCCTCTTCCCATTCTCCAGTTCTAAAGACCCTTTATGCCCAACCCTCCAGCCAGAAAGGCTTCCCTGCACCACTCACTCAGATTCAAAGGACCATCCTCGTCCCCCCATTGGCCCTTGGGGGAGCCTGGGCGGGGGCTTCCAGTTTTCTTGGCCCCCAAAAAGCTCTCGTCTTGCGGCAGCTTGCCCTGCTTGGCCAGCTCGTACAGCAGGTCAATGGGGGCCCCACTGCTTTCCGACTCTGCCACCCCGAGGTGCCGCAGGTGGGAGCGTGCATGGCTGGATAGGCCCTTCCGGGTCTCGAAGCATGCTCCACAAACCTCACACGTTGTCTGACCTGGGCCTGGCGAGGGTACCAATTACAAACTGAATTATTGGGCGAAAATTAGACCACCATTCAGGGAGCAAAGAGGATCCATCTATTGCAACCACACAAGAACTCCACTAAAAAGCCATTACCTTCTATTAAAAAGACAAGCTCAGATTCACAACTCTAACAAAAAAAACACTACTTACATCATCAAGGCTCCCTGAACAAAATAAAATGCCTAATGATACAAATATATCTATATTTTAGCAAAAATCCGATAACTAAAATTTATAGCAACGGACAGCAGATTTGAAAAAAAAAGAAAAAAAAAGACACGCTATAAAAATGATTACTTAACCCAAAATGTCTTGCTTCAACCTTAAACCCACTATTTGATTTGTGTTTTAACTTCTAACAAATGGAAACACTGATTGCCAAGTATTCATAGCTAAACTAGATGAAGATATCTAATGAATTGTATGAGAACACAAATGTTTATGCAGAATTTAGACATTAATGTTCCTGGACCAATATCTTTTTATATTTACATTAACTTACGTAGAAAAATAACTATTAGACAATCGACTCATTTACCTTTTGGATCCTCTGTTCTACTAGTGCTCTGGTCTGAAGGCATCTTCTCTAGCCGGCTAGGCTCTTGTTTTGAGCTTTGGGATCGTCCCAGGTCTAAGGGAGTTCCATCCTCCTCATCTGACCCCAACACTAAGGAAACAGACAAGATCCGATTGCCCAGACGGCCACAAACAAAGAAGGGCATTCAGTTAGAGTGAACTACAATAAGGGATTAGTTATTTGGGGGAATAATTCCCATTTTTTAGGAAATGAAAGAATAATGCAATTTATATAACCCTGCCAACAACTCTAGTTTCAAATTAGTGTTCAAAATAATTTTGTGCAACGGGTAAATTAGATTATAGTTTGTTATGCAGGAAGTGTTTTGCTTAATAATCTTTAGGTTTTGATTTTTAAATTAGTTTCGTGCCACATCCCAACACCCAGCAATTTTCTTTTTGCTTTGAAATATCTTTGTACACAATGGGGTCAGGAGCCTATAATGTTAAAACCACCGTCTAGCCCCCCTGGGCCCCTCATGCTTCCATAAATATATTAAAATCGTACTTTTATTCAAGCCTGAAGCTGTACCCCTGCATGCTGTTTGCCTCAGAAAAACCAGCTGTCTGCTGACATCATCAGAAGTGGTGGCCTGATCCAATCACAGTGCTTCTCCATAGGATTAGCTGAGACTGACAAGGAGGCAGATCAGGGCCAGAGCCAGCACAAGTCAAACACAGCCTTGGCCAATCAGCAGCCCCTCATAGAGATGAATTGAATCAATGAATCTCTATGAGGAAAGTTCAGTGTCTGCATTCAGAGGGAGGAGACATTGAATGTTTGGATGCATTGTAGGCAGCCATGACCCTGGAATGATCTCTAACAGCCATCTGAGGAGTGGCAAGTGAAGATATCACTAGGCTGTAATGTAAACACTGCATTTTCTCTGAAAAGACAGTGTTTACAGCAAAAAGCCTGAAGGTAACGATTCTAGTTCAATAAACTGTAGTTCTGGTGATTATAGTGTTGCTTTAAGTTTTCAGGGAATTCCAACGGTTCACTTTCTTTCTACAGTATAATGCAACAAACTGACCTCACAAAAACCTGGTGTCTTTTTAGGACGGCTTATATGATAAGTGCTGCACAGCAATGAGTGTATATTACTGGTCAAGTCACTTCCTAGTTAGGTGTGAGCTGACTGCAGAAACTGCAAAGACTGAGGTTTTGCAGCAAATACAGGAATTTAAAAAAGATATACATTTGATTCTGTTTTTGCTTTTAAATTGATCAGATTGTCTATATAATGCATTACATGTAACCTGGCAACAAATGTGGATGACTGGTTACATTCTGGTAGATATGTAATCACTTAACCTATGCACTACAATACAAATTGGCAATCCGTGTATAGATTTAAAAAAAAAAAAAAAAAAAAAGTATGTTTACCTGATATTCCCTGTAATAATCACAAAACATGGTAGTTGTAAAATGAAGGTGGAAGCTGTGCTTGGAGCATCCTGCTCTCAAATGACAGCATCTCACATTTACTAGAGTGCTATTGCAGATCAAGATTGATAGGTTCCTTACATGTGCAGCTGCACTGGACTTCATAAGTATGTAACCTTTATTGTTATATGGACAACGGTCAGTACATTTTTTTTTTGTACATTACAAATTACACACTAACAAGCCTATTAGACAGGTCTGATGAAATCTACCAATAATTATCTATATGCGAAGTTGGTCAAGTACAGACAGATTATGGACAGTAGATTAGCATGTATTTTATAAATTGTGATTCCATGTCTGATTCTTAGCAACAAGCACCGCTCCTGACATCCACTAAAAACGTTTACAGAGGACTGTGCTCTAGGAACAGTTACTGAGGAAGCAAAGTAAACAGCAGGTATGCAAAGCCATGCATTTGACCTGTGCTAGAAATTTTTGGGCCAAGTCAGACATAATGGGTGTCAGAACATTATGGGGGATGTAGTCCACAACATCTGCAGTGCCGAAGGTTGCCTACCTAGTAGATGCACATGTCAAGTCTGCATGCCCAACTAGATTATCGTGTGTGTGATAGAATATATATATATATATATATATATATATATATATATATATATATATATATATATATATATATATATATATATATATCTATCTTGTGATGTCCTGATGAAATGTCTAGCATACCTTAAAGGACCACTATAGGCACCCAGACCACTTCAGCTTAATGAAGTGGTCTGGGTGCCAGGTCCACCTAGGATTAACCCTTTCTGCTGTAAACATAGCAGTTTCAGAGAAACTGCTATGTTTACATTAGGGTTAATCCAGCCTCTAGTGGCCTCTAATGCTTTCCTATGAGACTGGCCGAATGCGCACGCGGCTCTTGCCGCGCATGGGCATTCAGCCGATGACGGGAGAGTTCCCCGCACCGAGGGATCTCGGCGCTGGAAAAAAGGTAAGATTTAACCCCTTCCTCTCCATCCAGCCTGGTGGGAGGGGGACCTTGAGGGTTGGGGCACCCTCAGGGCACTATAGTGGTCCTTCAATCTGCATACCAGGTCTGGTTAAAATAATATACAGATACTTATATTAAAATTGGCCTTTACTCAAATTTCACATGGCAGGTTACTGTAATAGCCTTAATTTCTAAGATCTTGGTGACTGAGTTATTAATCTACACTATTAGAGTTAAAAAAAAAAAAACAACACTTCTCAATAGTTATCTCCAGCAAATGTATTCAGTCATCCACAAACGGACTAAAACATTTTGACCCTGAGGCTGTGGAGTCATTTGCACTACTTAGACCTCAGATACCTCATTGAAACATAGAAAGTCTTAGTATTAGAACAGTCCGTTTAGATACTACCTTGTGACTTTGTAATATGAGCACAGCACTACGACCCTTAGCAACTAAATGTATGCTGTGTTTTTATAGAAATATTCAAACATGCTCTGCTGACATACTTCGCTTATAGTGCTGACCAAAATGTTATTTTAGACAATGCACAACTGATCTTTACTGCATTTCCCTACACTAAACACAGCCGGCAGGAAATTCCAGTTTTTGGTAAACAAGCCCCAGGATTGTCAGAGGTTTTAGCTGACAAAATGTTACCTGTGAATCATGGACATTATTGCGCAAAAACTGTTGAAATGCGGTCATCCTATTTTTGGATCTAAATTGAGAAAAGTTGCTGGAGCTCCAGCACACAAACCCATATGACCATACAATTTCAGTTCTGCATTATTATAAAAAAACAAAAACAAAACAAAAACACAACCATAAACCAAGACTATTATGCATCCTATGACCACTCAAAACAAAAACAATAAAAATTCAAAAGGATGTTGTATTATATTTTTTCTTCTTCCTGTTTTCCACATAGAATTCTTGAACAGAACTTTTGCAGACTGTGACAGCATGTGATAACAGTTCTGATTAGTGATGTACTCCAGCTCATGTGGGCTAAATTTGCAATGCACAGCCAGTTGGTTGTATGAGTAAAATAATTAGAAGATATTAAGGTTAGCAAGCACTGCTAATAGAGTAGATTTGTTTTAGTTGCTACTGTGCCTATAATAATCTACCACCATGTGATATTAAGAAAGTGCATATTTTCTTTAAGATTTGCATTGGGTTCTAGTTGGTTTATATCATTACCCATGATGATTTAAGCATACAAAATATATGCAGTATATCAGTGAGCAAAAAGCACCCTACGCCAGAAGTTTGCAAAGTGCATAAAGTTTCAGGGAAAGTTCTCAAAAAGCTGTAAGCCTACAATAACATTTCAGGATCCTTATTGCCTTTTATTAATCTAGTGATTGTTGTCCTTTGGGGCTTCAGCTCTTGGTTGCCTACAGGGCTATAATTTCCGATGCGCCTGTGAGTACGGGGTGAGCAATCTACTATACTGCAAAATGTTGGCCATTCCTGCACTAAACAACCGCATGCTACACTTTTAAAGAGTTTAGAAGTCACGTAGGCCTGTTTTATCCCTACACACACACACACACTGGGGCACAGAGTATTCTCCGGGTCTGATGATAAATTGTTACACACGAGTCCGGGTCTGGTTGTTGGGAGCCGCCGCCGAGAGCCTGGCAGACTCCGCAATGAGAGGGAGAGCAGGGGATCCATGGAGCCCCATTAGTCACATAACTCACCATGGAGCGCACCCAGTCTCCTCATCCTCATTTCCCACAGGTGTCCCCGGCACACAGCCACTCACCCGCTTTCATCTTCCCGTTACCCGGCATCTGCAGCGCGCTGGCCCGCGGTGTCTCGTTTTCTCGCCCGAGAGGCCCTACTTCCTCCCGTGTCCACGCTCTCCCGCCTCCACTCTCCGAGCACTGCTCGTCTTCCTCCTCTTGACTCCTCCTTCCTAAGGCCGCCGCTTCTCCTGATTCGCTAGGCCCCGGATCCCCGCTCTTTCCTGAATCTCCGGCCCCGGGCTCCTTGGCCTCCTTTGTCAGCTCGCTGGGCGCCGCCATGATAGGGGGGAAATACAGCGGCGCGTGGGGGCGAGAGCGCGCGCACGAGGCCTAGGCCAATCCAATGGATTCCAGAGCTTCAGTCAATCAGGAGAGAGCGCTCGGGAGATTGGGCATGGAGACGAAAGCAATCGACCGCAGAGCACATCAACTGCGTGCAATGCATGCCGTGTACACCGTTTGTTGGGCGGTATGGACTAGATGCAATCAACACAACAGCAACTATATTTGACGGTGCATGGCTTCATACACAAGTGTCACCGTCAGAAAAATGTGTGTGTGGGATACACATACACTGTTACATCTAAATAATATGCAACTAAATTCTAATACCGCGTTCCAATCTGACCGCCTGTATGCTGAACTATGTATAGAGGAGATGCCAAGCAACAGTACTTGTGGCACATAAAACACATGATTATTCACTAAAGTACATTAATTGTCAGTAATCCAAAGTGCATTTCAATTTTTTGGCCAAAACAGCCGAACAGTAACACATTTGGGACTACCTATTAATAAGGTTAATCATCAAAGCAGTGGTTCCCAACCCAGTCCTCAAGGACCCCTTAACAGGCCAAGGTGTTTTTAGAAGACAAAAACAAAAACACACACCCTCCCTAAATCCCAGACTGGTAGGGGTTACTTGAGTACTGGGTTGGGAACCCCTGCAATAATTCAAAGTGAATTCATAATTTAGGACCACAGTAGCCAAAATGATTAGCGGATTTAGAGATTTTTCTGCGGGGCTATTTTTAACTTGGATTTTATATTCACTTTGAATTCTCACTTATTTTATTTATTTCTGCATTTATAAAGCACCAACATATTATCCAGTGCTTCAGAGAATAACCTTGTACATACATAATTGTAGTAAATTGAAAACCGAATTGTATTTTATAGGCTAAAACAACCAAGCTGTAAATTATGGGAGTTGAAGAATGTTTCTAAATCTGTGATTCGGTCTTAAATTTTGCCACTTGGTTTTCAATTTGCTATAAGTCGCTGTTTAGTGAACCAAAACATGTTGACTTTGAGACATATTCCAGTTTGGCTCTTTTGAATTCCCAACAGTTCATCCTTTAGCAAATAAACCAGCAGATCCTGGTACATCTTACAGTCTTGATATTATGCAACGATCACCTGATTACGTGGCTAAGCATTAAACAATGTAGAAACAAATCAATCACTTCATGAAGATCAAACTGAAAAGACTGAGGTTTTGCAGCAAATACAGGAATTTGAAAGGTATAGGTTTAATTACGTAGCTCAGGGTTCTAGTGCACATGGCTAAGCATTAAACAATGTAGAGAAAAATCAAATCATTTCATGTTTTTTTTAAACAAACTGATGGGAGTAGGATTTATTTTAACACCATACATTGAGATTTATATAGTTTTCAAATATATATTCTGGGACATATACATCCAAGTTTTAAGAAGAACTGGAAGGTTTAAACGTTTGGTAAATTTTCAGTAAAAAAATAAAATTAAATTAAAAAAAAAGTTTTAAAAAAGCCATAACATAGAAATATTTGTTTGCCAACATAACTGATACAGCGTTATCCTGGCACTCAAACTATGATTGCACATTAAGGGATTGACCGTACATCAAGACTCCCTTTTTCCTCTCAAACTTCTAAAACTCCAGTGGGTTATTGGAACAAATTGCAAAGGCACAAGATTATTTTAGATTTAAAATTCCAAATACCGGTATATATATTAACATAAACTTGCAAATACATATCAATGATCAAACAAGTAGAATCAGACCTGGTTGATGCATAAAAGCAAACTGACCATTTAATAAGTAATAGAACACAAACCAGCGTTAAGAGATAAAAGTACCAAAACATTGGACTACAGAGTGTTAAGATTTAGTCTTATACACCCATGCCAACTGTTGTATGGTAGTGGCCCTGTGTGAGGCACCTGGATATATGCTTCGGCCACAGTAAATTACAGACAAAGTTAGCACACAGTTAAAAACACATGTATCACTTGACATTTCTTATATTTGTTTCACCAGCAAACACTTTTAAACAAACACACAAAGCAAAATAAAGCAAGAAAAACTTTGAAAAGTATGTAATAAACTTTATTAACATACTAATGTGAGAAAGAGAAACCTGATGCTAGAGCCTTCTCTGCATACGTCACACTGAACAGACTCACTCTTCTCCCCTGTCAGAGGTTGCAAGGCGAAGAGTTCTCCCAACTGCTCATGTGTAAATCTGTCAGGCATGCCCTAGCACTTTTCCAGCATTTCTAGGGATAGGACACTGGCTAGATCTTTGCTGACCTCGCCCAGAATGGGCATGGAAAGAATAAGAAAGAAGAAGCAGGTAAACATGAAGGGAATAAAAAAAAATACTACCTGCTTTTTCAGCCTGCACAGTGAAGTAACAGTCTCATTCTATGCTAAAGCTTTTGAACGAGACAAAGTAAACCATGCCTCTTTAATCTATAAATTAAAAAAAGGTAATATACAATGTAATGTTCCTGTCCGCCCGCACCTCCCATGCCTCACCCTTCTGTCAGTCCCTACATTGGCTTCCTATAAAATATAGAGTTCAATTAAAAATTCTGGTTCTTGCTTTCAAATCGCTACATAATGCTGCTCCCACCTCATACACAAGTATGTCCCGTCTAGGCCCTTACGATCTGCTGAAGACTTACGTCTATCTTCTGTCCGTACTCCCACCTCTGATGCTCGCCTTCAAGATTTCCCGAGGGCTGCACCGTTCCTGTGGAACTCGCTTCCCTCCTCCATTAGATGCTCACCCAGTCTCCACTCCTTCAAAAAATCGTTAAAAACCCACTTCTTCATAAAAGCGTATCAATTAAACTGTTAATAGCTCCTGACTGATTCCTCTTCTGCAACTGTCACTAGTCTAATACTATCCTTACCTTTTTTGTGTCATTTTACCCCACTCCCTCTAGCATGTAAGCTCATTGAGCAGGGCCCTCAACCCCTCTGTTCCTGTGTGTCCAACTTGTCTGGTTACAACTACATGTCTGTTCGTCCACCCATTGTAAAGCGCTGCAGAATTTGACAGCGCTCTATAAATATCATAATAATAATAATGTGCTTATTTATACACTCAAAGTATTGATGAAGTACATAGCATTTACACCACATTTTTGTGCCTGTTAAAGGAGGCAGTCTAAGCACCATAATGAATACAGCACACTGTAGTGGTTATGGTGCCAGAAGTCCCCCGACACGATCCTCAGTGTAACACCTAAACCATTTTTTGAACAGGTTGTCACTAAACTGGGTCTCCCAGGCAGCACCATCTTCAGATATAGCTAAAGTAGAAGTTTCTACATGGTTTACATACATCAATGTAAAAGGTAACTTTTCAAACATACCAATCACACGGTCAGTGCTATACACTGCTGTATTTTGCACTGTAATGACATGGGGTACAGTAATGTACACCATGCAGCAGGTTTAGAGTAGTGGAGGCTTCCCTTCAACATACTGTTGACTCCTTTCACTATCAGACTTCACAAACCAGAAATGTAAACTCTTAACTAATCCCCCCCCAAAATGATCCCCTAACCTGCAACGTACCCTATCAGTGATGTAATGCTATGGAGTTCTTTGTCTGCGCCCACCTGAGCTGCACATTACTGGCTCGGAACTCCCGAACTGGCCTATATGGCTCTGGCAGCCTCATGTGCCATGCAAAAGCATCCTGTCATAGGTGGCCAACCCATGCACTACAGGCAACTACACTACATTCTGAATTGCTTATATCACTTTTGTTCATATTGAGGTAGCACAGCTTCTATTCACTTGCAGGTAGCTTTGTGATATTTATTTGCGTAATGTGTTATATCAAATGCAGTTTAAAGCACAAATGGAAACACTGACACTTTAGAGGGAAGGACAGAGGTGGTAGTCCAATTGGGCCTATCCTTTTAAAATGACAGTACACATTGCAAAGGTTTTGTGCCTGTGCCTGAAACAAGGGGCACAAGAAAGCAACATATGGCCCTGGCCATTCAGCATCTCCTCATAGAGATGAACTGAATCAATGAATCTCTATGAGGAAAGTTCAGTGTCTGCATGCAGAGGGAGGAGACACTGAATGTTTGGATGCATTTTAGGCAGCCATGACCCAGGAAGGATCTCTAACAGCTATCTGAGGAGTGGCCAGTGAAGTTATCACTAGGGTGTAATGTAAACACTGCATTTTCTCTGAAAATACAGTGTTTACAGCAAAAAGCCAGAACAAATTCAATAAGCTATTGTTTTGGTGACTACAGTGTGCCTTTAAGACCACAAACAGATGCACTTCCTCCTTTAGAATGGAGTAAAACTTGGTCTGAGAACCAAATGCTGTTGGTAATAGCATTTGTTTGGAGGAGAGCAGTGTTTTGCTGCACATACGCTCTCAAATCCAATGCTTCTCTATGAAAAGTATTAGACTGGAAAAGATCACTGGTAACTTTAGCATGGTTGTTTACATCACAAGAGGAATGCCAATGCTTGAAATGAAGGGAGTAATATTTATTTTACGTTAAGGAACACTATAGGGTCAGGAACACAAACATGTATTCCTGACCCTATAGTGTTAAACCCACCATTTAGGTGGCTTACCCACCCCCCATCAGCCCCCTTAAAAGGAATTAAAAACTCATCTTATTTACAACTCCGCACTGGTCTGCCGGTGCTGGCCCCGTCCCCAATCCGCCTTCTTGGTGACATCATCAGAAAGGAGGCATGATGGGGCAGGGCCAAACACTGTTTGGGTCCATCAGCACCTCCTCATAGAGATGCATTAAAACAATGCATCTCTATGAGGAAAATTCAGCGTCCCTATGCAGAGCGTTGGGAGCCTGAACAGCAGTGCTGCCTACTGTGCAGCACTGCCCTAGGAAGCACCTCCATGTGAGGAGTGACCACTTGGAGGGGTCCCTAGAGGGGATGTAAACACTGCCTTTTCTCTGAAAAGACTGTTTGCATGGAAATGCCAGCATATAATGAGAATACTCACCAGAACAACTACATTAAGCTGTAGTTCTGGTGACTATAGTGTCCCTTTAATGTTTACAGATAAAAAGGCAAACAGACAAATGGGAATATATAACAAATTGTTATTTTTGCACTATAGGCTCCCTTTTAAGTTTGGAAAATAAACAAAAATAATTTCACACAACTAGGAGCCAACTTGATCTGCTTAGAAACCATAGAATACTTATATGTAAGTTTAGCAGCAGCAGCAATATGCAACAGTCATCTACAAAATATTTGTGAATTTTTCTTTCAAAAGAAAAAAAAAAAATTGGAACAAAATTAACTCCATTAGTGTTAAATTACAGCTGAGAAGGCAGGAGGCTCCTGCCAACCACAGTGTCAGTCTGAATGTGTGTTTCAGTGAGGATATTCTCAAATTCTGGATGCAAGTGTTTGAGAACATGATTAACCTAGAACAACTATATCTGTTGTAATATTTTTGTGCAATTCTATGAGTGTACAGCACTACGGAATTTGCTGGCCCTATATAAATAAAATAATAATGAGGGAAGGAAAAGGTGAAAATAAATACCTATATGTTTTGTGTGATGTAACATTTATCATCCACAACCTTAAAGCCTCTAACATCCAGCAAAACAGGGGTTTGCACAAATTAATTGCCATTTACAGATGAAATTCAAACAATCATTAAAACATTTTTTTTGTTAAATATATTAATTTTTTTTTTTAATTTTAAAAAGGAAAAAAAGTGTTGCATCCAAAAAAAAAAAAATACACCCAAACCAGTTAATCTGTGGTCAGTTGTGCCATTTGTTATGTATCAGCTTCCTATGCTTCATATATATATATATTTTTTTTTTTTTTTTTATTATTATTATTTTTTTTTTTAATTATTCATTCAATAAAATTGCACTTATGTTGCACTTAAAAAAAAAAAATTAAAAAGGCAAAGACTGAACGCAGCACTGAGCTTTCAGGTGAAACATTGCCAAAAGCTGCAATAAAAAGACTCATAAATTGGATTTTTTTTTTTTAATCTTTATGAAATACTCACATTGACGGTGTTGGAATTTCATTCCAGTACAGCCAAAGTATATTAGAAGGCAAAATATGAACTACTTTGTCTTATGTATATTCCCCAAGTCTTCCAAAACTCGAGAAGAGACTTGGCTATTGCTGTAAAGTTTGTCATTTTCCCCATCCGTCACTAGTAAAGGATGTGGGTAAAAATGCGTTGTCTATGGAAGGACTCGCCAGACTCTTTACAGAGAGTGCTGTACTCTCATAAACTGAAAGGGGAACTATGGGGCAAAATTATACCAATTGTTTTAATGCATTAAAGAGAGAATGCATTAAAAAAAAAAATTAAAATGCAAATCAATAAAAAGAAATGCAAAGACTGAAGCACTGAGCTTTCAGGTGAAACATTTCATTGATTACTCGCCTTCACATTTTTCCTCAGTGCACTTTAGTAGGACTGCCTACAGCAACAGATAGAGACCCCTCTCTCATCAGGAAGAGAGACTCTTATCCCATAAACTCATACACAGCTAGTAGTTTATGGGATAAGCAGTTCTTTCACACAGAGAATTTCCATTTATTGAAGCTGCTATCACTTTACACATGGCCATGTTCAGTGAACTGGCCTATGTTAATCACTCAGCAGAAGCATGGCCCAAGCAGGCGGTGACTCTTCTTGCAACTGAACCCAAGTTTGGTAAAACTAACAGTCAGTGTGGAAAACGTTTGTGTCTGACTGAATGACATGAGCTGGAGGTAGAGCTATACCAAGGTTAAAAATCTAAAATATCTTGATACTGGTGTTTTAAGCTAAAATGCTGCACTAACTAAGTCATTGCACCACAGCCACTTCAGAAAGCTGAAGTGGTAACAGTGCTTAGATTAACCATTTTAACTTAGAGTGAACACCAAGAGTCATAGATTGGCAGCAGTGAGGTAATTTAAAGATTAAATAATTAGGCCCATTATGACATGATCACTGATAGTGACAGGTTACATTGTGGAATGTGAGAAGGGTGCTGCAAGGCTAGGATGGGAAGAGGAATGTTAGATGAAGAGGGATAGGCCAGGACACAAACTTGGATCTGACTGCAGGCTGGTGATGATGCAATGTGATACCTCAATGATGATATAAAGAAGCACAAAGGCTTACCGTCTGTGTCAGTCTCCTGGTGCCAAGGCGGGAAGGGGGGCAGCGGACGACCGGGAGAACGGGCAAGCAGTCGAGCAAGCACATGGATGGGAGACACTGTGAGCTCCCAGTTGGTGATACCAAAGTCTCGAAGGTGGGCACGGGCGTGACTGGAGAGGCCAGCACGAGTGTCGAAGCCAGCACCACAGAACTCACACCGCATCAGGCTGAACGTACTGGGGTCAAAGTTCGCCACTGCAGAGGGTGAGAGGAGAACACCTGGTGTCCAGTTCTACATATTGTGGCTCACCGGGCGTCCTGGCCTACTCAAATTTTACAGTTGTATTGACCTGCACAACACCCTTTATTATTAGTCAGCGCTATCCAGTGTCCCCCATTAAAACCTTGGGCCAAGTCAGACATGTCATGTGTGGCTGTTGTGTGTTGTCGAATCCTAGTCTATGCACACACTAAGAAGTCTGCTTTCTATACACTAGTACAGGCATAGGCAACCTTCGGCACTCCAGATGTTTTGCCATCTGAATGGGTGTCAGAACATTAGTCCACAACATCTGGAGTGCCGAAGGTTGCCTACTCCTGCACTAGTAGATGCACAGGCCAAGTCTGCATCCCCAACTAGATTGTCTGGTATATTTAACATGAAACACTACATGACCTCTCATACCTAGCAGGTGTCACTATACTATACTAATTGTATAATACATTTTAATTGTATTTTACATTTTCATGCACATCTTAAGCAATGTAGGAGTGGAGCCGATCTGCTGTACAGTATAAAAATAGGTACTCTTCATAGTAAATGTATTTATCCATGCAGACTTGTTAATTTGACAAAAAATATAAAATATCTATTTTTAAATGGCAGCCTATGCACTACAAACATCCCTCCACCCCAGAACACCCAGCACTTCTCCTGCTAGATAGATGTCCCTGTCTACACAAAGTCCGCCTCCCTAAATTCTAGGCCTACTAAGTGCCTATGCTAAATGCAAAGTCTACTTTGAATCCTCCCTTGCTAAATGCCCAACTACTAGTGATGTCCCGAACGGTTCGCCGCGGACTCATCATTGAGTAAACTTTGACTCTGTCCAGGAGGTGGGAGGGTCTGGGAGGGAGGGTCTGCTGCTGATTGGCTGGAATGTGTCTGCTGACTGTGAGGTACAGGGTCAAAGTTTACTCAATGATGAGTCCGCGGCGAACCGTTCGCGACATCGCTAACAACTACTTAATGGCTCTCGGCTACACTCCCCAAAGACACAAAGTAGCACTCTGGCAGATGCCCCATTAGGCTTCTAGGCCTACTCAACATGCCTCAAACACATGGGCCTAGTTAGATGGCCAGGTCAAAAAAATTCTACCTGACCCTCTGGCAAAATTGCATGTACTATCAGATGCTATAATCTAGTAAGTATGCCTCCCTAGATCACCATGTTCACTCAGATAAAGTCTTCAGATGTGTAGGCCTGCAAAGCTTACTTTGCTAATGCTATAATTTTCTCCATGTGGTTAATTATTTAAACCGAATTATTACAGTACATTGTTAATGAAATGCTACACTTTTAAGCTGTGTTGCAAATAGTTAGAAACGGTTACTGTATTTTTGTTGACTCCAGTCACAATGCAAAACAGAAATTTTATACCGTAATTTGAACATGTTGAGATCTCATTAGCCTCCTGAATATTTGTAACCAGATGCTGTAAATTTCTTAAGAGCACAGATTGAGGACCACATTTTGAACTGAATTTGATAATGGGAGCTGTATAATAGATAAACTGAGATATACTACTAGTGTGTGTGAGAATTAGCACACACATTGGAACCAATAATATATTATTTTTTTATATAAATATATAAATTAGGTGGGTGTGTCAAAATCGCAATATAGATAAAATAGAAAACATGGGGTTTGGAGCAGCATAATATAGCAAGCTAAGCTCCTAATATCAATGATGATTGTATATTACCTAGTGGTGGTCAAATGCTACCTCTTACAGGTAAAACATGTCATTAATTTATTTGACAAAAACAAAAAAGATATTTGGTATATAAAAGGACATATAATACATATGTCCTTCAGGACAAAGAACAGAGAAACTTTCTTGTGAGATTCCAAATATTTAGTCACAACAGAATACCTTCTTTTAAATAATAAGACAATCACTACAAAGGCATTTTCCTGTGGTGGAAAATTTTGTGATCTCACATGAATACATGAACTCTGTCACCTATCCTACAGGGTATACTATATGTCTATTTATAGAGTTTCCAGCCCTTTTTTTTGTTTTGTTTTCTTTTATTAGTTTTTAGTTATGGCTATAAATGTAATGTTTGTAATGGCAAACTCCTTTCACAGATGAGTTTATTCACTAAATATTGAATTGCAGACAATTGAAAACTGAACTGCAAAATGTAACTACATTTGGCAAGTTTATGCAATTTCTTTTTAATTTCACTGCAATGTGACATTTAGTGAATAAACCCGAATGTGTTTGGATCTGCCCTAACCTTCTCAATAGCTTTTCAGCATGTGTCACCAGGAATCTTAAAAATTTAATTGTGCTTCAAAAATTGGCTTTCAATCCTCACATGGTAACATGAACAGTCATTACTAACCTTGGAATCCCAGATGTTCATCAACTACATTTCCAGCAATGAATAGTCTGGATGATCATGAGATATGCGGTTCACAACCATCTGGGGTGTCAAAGTAAGCTATTACATCCTACCATGTTATATCATTTATGCTCTCTAAGATACCCAGTTGGCTAATTTGTCTCATATGTACTACTTGCAACTTATGTAACCACTGATGCTAGAGGTGTGCATTGCAAAACAATGCCTTGGGCATACCTTTGGTACTCAAAAAGTTAAAAATCATATAGCAGTCTTTGGTACTTGGCCTCTTATAAAAAAAAAAAAAAATACACTGGGAACTATCTGTAGCTTCCATCACAAAACATCTTACTTACAAAATATTAGACAAACACACAACTGAAAAAGTCTAAAAGGAGATATTTTCTATTTTTATGTCAAGGTAAATAACTTACTAATCATGAAGAGTTAAGAGCAATTTTTAAGACAAATTCTTTGAGAAAAGTCTTTTCCATGAAAACCAATGCAATTTACCTACTTATTGCTACACTATTACAAATGTTTCTAAACCGCTCTTTATCCATAACCCCCATTGTTCTAAGTAGATCTATACTGTATATTGAGTCACTCTTGCATAAAAATTGTTAACTTAAACAGTACACTAACCTTTCTTGCGCTTCTTCTGAAAGGAGTAATTCTGTTCAATAGCCTTCACTTCCTCTGCCGATATGAAATGTCGTACATTGTAGCTGACCCCGACTCTGTTTAAATGGCCCCTGACATGGTTGGCCAGCCCAATACCATTGTGGAAGCGATCAGGACAGTATGGACACTCTCGTTCTTCACTCCTAAGACCAAGTGCCTCAAGTTGTCCCTCATAGCTGGGATCCATTAACAGAGCATCCAAGGGTAGATCACCATCTCCATCTTCTGCCCATTCTTCTCTAGAATGCTGAAGTTCAAAAGGTGAGGTGGAATTTTTTGAGGAGTACTCTCCAGACAGTCTTTTACTATAGCCCCAAGGCTGGGATACCTTTGATCTCCTCTTTCTAGAGCTAATGTTTTCGAGTACAACAACAGCCACTGCCTCTCTTAATTGTTGTCTTTGTCCATCTTCAGCCAAGCCACCATCCTTTAGAGCTTCTCGAAACTTTCTCTTAACTTCCATTGCTGCTTCTGGTATCCAAGAGCCTTTCAAAGTCTTACAACATTCTCCAGTCTTCTGTTGCTCATCTTTTGTGCAATCTCCTGTGTTTTCTTTGAATGGAGTTTTTCTCTTTGCTTTGCCTGGATATTGCATCTCTTCAGCTTGGGGCACATCTACTCCCCAATCTTGCTCACTTTCTGCCTCTTTCTCAGCAATATTCCAGATTCCATCATTTACCTCTTCTGTGCTACTTTCTTCATGCATCTCAGCTGGAGTTCTAAATGATGATGGTGTTGTTCGGTTTTCACCAATCCCCTTCTTAACATGGGTCTTTGCATGCTGGACAAACACTTTGGAGGAGTTCGTACCAAAGAGGCATTTTGGGCATTGAAGACGTGCACTCCTTCCTTCATCTGCCAAACTCTCTAGCTTGCGTATTTCTTCCATAATTTTTTGTCTGGACTCCTGATGTAGCTGGCGATGGGTTGTCAAACTACTCTCCTCTCCAAAACATTTTCCACACTCACCACAGGTATGTGGGCCATCCCCAGCCTGTGTTCCCTCTCCTTCTCCCTCTTGAGTGTGCTGAAACATATGCTCCAGCAGGTGAGCTTTCTTTTTGAAATAGATGCTGCACTCAATACATGTATAGACCGAACCTTCTTCCTCTTCATCATCATCCTCTTCTTCTTCTACTTCTACTTGTGCATCTTCCTCAGAGTAGTTGCTGCCCTGCCAGGTCTCTTGTGAACTGCCCAGTTGCAAAGCTCTTCTAAACACTGGCATTGTAATGGGAGGTGGGTCTGACCGCACCATCATAAGCGTAGAGTGACCATCATCATCCATGCCCGAAGCCCATTCAAACCTCCCAGTCTGTAGATACTGGCCTTCTGAAGGTACCCCATCAGCTCTTCTTTCACTTTCTTGCTGTGGATCTGACACAGAGAAGCTCCAAGGAGAGGAAAGGCTTGAAGGCGAATGTTGGTTTATGTGATGTAGTGTTCGATTGTCAGTGTGTGGAATAGTGAATTTGGGAGATGCCAATGTAGAGGAAAGGTGGTCTTGCTCTGGGCTGTAAAAGAAGTAAAAAGGTGTTAGGATTTTTTTTTTTAACTGCTATACTAATGATGCATATTCATATGTTACTACACAACAGTAAAGTGGACCAAAAAATAAAACCATCCACTTCATTAGAAATAAATTTATACAATATGCAAGCCATAATGTTCCATTCACTAGCCAGTGGAGAAGCAGTTAGGAAAAATTGCAGTGAGTTGTAAAATTAGCCATCAATATCTATAGATTTAATTTTACTTATTTAGCTTAAAGGGACACTCCAAGCACCATAACAGCTAAGCTACAGGTGAAGAGTGTGTTTGGTGGAATTCCACAGTTTGTGCCAAACTGTTCAAGAAGCTGGATAAAATAAAAAAATAAATAAAAGGCTTTCATTTAATAGAGTATGTATGGGGGCACTTGAAAGGAAACCCTTAAATTACAGTGGAACAAACTTATCGCTCAAAGTCAAAGTTTTGTTTTAGATCCCTTTCCCCCCTGCGTAGAGGGGTTCAACTGCAAGAAATGTTTGATCATTTTCTTGCACAAGGTTATAATAAGTACTTACTATTACATGCACTTTCTGAAGCTCATTACAAAATGGAAAGGTTGTCTTTGCACACAGTTAATGATCTCCCTAGTGACCATGGGAGTCGGAACAGAGTTATTTATGTACAAATATGCAATACGAATTCTCCAGTCTTGAAAAAGGTTTTCAAAAAGCACTGGTCTCTTTTCAGCAGGGACCTTTCCACAATACCCCACTTGTGGGGTACAAGATGACAGCAAACCTCAGGGACATATTAGTCCATACTGATCAATACCAATTAATTCATAAACCATTGATTAATAATATATACTACAAATGCTTTGGATTTGTCACCTGTGGCCACATTTACTCTGGCAAATCATTTTTTAATAGTCAGGTGGGACCTTTTAATTTAGACACAGAACAACATGTACCACAAACTAAGTAGTGTATAAAACCACTTGCCCCTGTGAGCTTGTCATACAGAGACAACAAATGATTAAGAGAAAGAATAAGAGGCCACAAATCCTGTATCAGGATGGCACTTTGTGATGGTTCTTCAGACAAACCCATGGTTCATCTTTTTTTTTGCAGAATGGACATGCATTATTTTCTTTCAAATATATTGGTACTGACCACATTCTGGCCTCCTCTAGAAGTGGTAAGCCATGATTTGAAGTTACTTCACTGCGAGGTCTTTTGGATCTATACACCGGACACTTTTACACCCTGTTGCCTAAATAAACAAATTCTCTTCATTGCTGTCATGAATGCACCCAACGTCAAGAGTGTGTGAGACGTAGCTGTGGTGGTGAAAGGGTTAAAGTTCCCCATTTGTCTGAACTAGACTGGAAATGATACAATACCACTTAACACCACCCACACTTAACCATAATAATATAACTATTACTATTTTAACGCTGCCACCACCAAGACAATTTATAAATGGGGTGCTTTAGTCCCCCAGATAACTTAATAAAAACCCACCAAATACAAGGTCGCACAATATCTATGTAATTGCAAAACATTAATTATGATCTTCAGGTAACGTGATTCTTTACCAGACAAAGGCAGAATAAAGGAATATTTAATATGAGCAAAAAATAGTCACAGTGCACACAAAAATATAGATGACAATCAAATTAGTTACACCAACAACAGATAAACAAAAAGGATAAAATAACAGAAGTCCTAATCACTGACTCAGGATTTCAAAGTAAAACTTCTGCCAAGCGGGTCTCTGGTAAAGAAGATGGTGACTCACTCAAAATCGGATTTTGGCCCCAAGCAAGTCCAATACACATTTCAGAATCATTAGATATATAACCTGTGGATCACCAAGTCTTGCCCAGGGGTGGAGTTAAGGTGTACCTATAGAAACAATAAATGACCACCCCCTTATGTTCCAGACCAACATCAATCCAAATGGAAACATTTGGTTCTATCTCCTCTTATGTACTTGCATCTACGAATTGGTTACTATTTTTCCCATTCCATAGATATGACACACTCCTTACTTGTGACCCAATATGGCGGACATCACAATTCCTGGTCATATGGTTAAGTTACGCAAATCATGGATTAGGCTTCATTAGAAGATTGTGCTTGTCCCATTCCAAATATAGTAAAAATGAGGCTTAAATATTATTCTGTGGTTAAGTATTAATGTTTGTTTTGGATAGGATACTGGAACTCGTATGATGCAGGCTGGTCTAACATGATAAATACGCTTAAAAGATTTTGGCCAATTCTCACTTCGGATCCCCATATTAAGAAGGTTATAACACCATTCCCCTCAGTGACAGCACGCAGGGGCAAAAGGGGGGGAGGGGGGGGGAGGGAAAGGAAATCATCAAATGCAACTCACATCACCATGAGTGAGCAGGCAAAACACTTTTTAAAAATTATTTATGGGATTTTGATATTTATATCAAAAGTATACATAGCTCTTAATACTGTGTATTGCCCTCTTTAGAATCAATGACAGGGTGCAGTCTTTTGCCCCTAATTCTTGCAGGTGGTATAGCTGCCCGTTCGTGTTGGCAAAATGCCTCCAGGTCATGTACAATCTTTGGTTGTCTAGCATGAACTGCACGTTTGAGATCTCCCCAGAGTGGCTCGATGATATTAAGGTCAGGAGATTGTGAGGATCACTCCAGAACCTTCACCTTTTTTTGCTGAAACTACTGGAAGGTCAACTTAGCCTTGTGCTTGTGGTCATTGTCATGCTGGAAAGTCCAAGAGCGTCCCATGCGCAGACTTCTTGCAAAAGAATGCAAATTGTCTGCCAGTATTTTCTAATAACATGCTGCATTCATCAGTGCTATCAATTTTCACAAGATTCCCCATGCTTTTAGAGCTCACATATCCCCAAAACATCAGTGAGCCACCACAATGCTTCACAGTGGGGATGGTATTCTTTTCACTATAGGCCTTGTTGACCCTTCTCCAAACATAGCGCAGCCTGTATTTCTCCTGAGGTTACCTGTGGGTTTTTCTTTATATCCCGAACAATTCTTCTGGTAGTTGTGGCTGAAATCTTTCTTGGTCTACCTGACCTTGGCTTTGCATATAAAATAAATAAATAAAATCTGAATTTTCCACTTAAGTGATTGAACAGTACTGATTGGCACATTCAAGGCTTTGGATACCTTTTTATATCCTTTCCCATGTTTATAAAAGTTCCATTACCTTGTTACGCAGGTCTTTTAACAGTTCTTCTCTGCTCCCCATAGCTCTGTATCTAGTCTGCTTGGTGCATCTATGGGAGAGCTAACAAACTCATTGACCATTAATACACAGACACTAATTGCAATTTAAAAAGTCCAAGGTGTTGGAAATTAACCTTTAAATTGCCATTTTAACCTGGTGTGTTTGTAACAAAGCCAAACATTCAAGTGTATGATCAGGGTCATTTGGGTGATTTCTGTTATCATTATGATTTAAAGAGGAGCCAAATAACTATATGATAATAAATGGTTTCATATGATCACTATCCTTCAATAAATATATATATTTAATTTTTTTTGCATGATCAGTCATATTTTCAAATTTAATGAAAACATTTCACAATTTCTGCCAGGGTATGCAAACTATTGAGCACAACTGTATACCCCATTTGGCAAGAGGTCTCCAAACTACTCCACAAGTTACATATTAAATTGCCCTTTAAACCATCGTGTGTACCTATGGTTTGATTTAACTAAACATTTATCATTTTATGAGCAGGTGCTTGCCTCTCACGTAGCACTAGCTGCCAGATACTTAGCACTACACTGGAAAAGCAAGCTATGCCCCACTGAAATAGCAGTGGGAGAGACTTCCTATAAATTACGCATTTAAACAGGCCACAGCACTGACTGCGCCCCAAAAACAAACAGTATCCCATATTTGGGAATCCTGGTGCAAGCCTTGGTATCTCCCCCAGCACCTTCCTTAGCCCAAAAGATGATTACTCTGCGTTGATAACCCAGGAGGGGAGAAGCATCGCACCACTGTGACCACAATCCAAGCCTAAACTTTGTATTCATACTCCTTCTTAATTTATGGCGGTATGGGTTGATAGACCTGTTAACTGACTTGGCTAAGGGGATTGACCAACTGTTTTTAATTTTTTTTTTTCTTGCTGGCTTAAGATTGCAAATATTTTTTATATATATATTTTTTTAATTCTTTATTTTATTGCGCATAAAATGTTACAGAACATAGGTGTTTGCCACCCGTGTATAACAATTAACAATTCAAGGTATGCAGGCAACAGAATCTGCGCATTTTTACATTTTTCACAGTTGTACAACAAAGTAGGGTAACAGTAATTAGTTCGAAAGAATCTTGTCATTAGGCTGACAACATAGTTTGGTCTAGTGACTTCGATTCAACTTTAAGCGTGATATAGTTTGTAGTGTATAGTAGGGAGGAAACAACGGGGGGAAGGTAGGGACGGTGTAGGTATTAGGGTGGTCGTGTAGAGGTAGTATTTAGACGATAATTAGGTGGCTCAATTGCCTAGATAGGTCAACCAGGGCTGCCATGTTAGGGTGTAGGTGGTGTATTTGTTCGAGTATGATGCGTCTAGTTCTTCCATGGTCCTTATGAATTCTACCTTTTGTATCCACTCCCGTACTGATGGGGCATTGGTGCTCTTCCATTTTAACGGTATCAACATATTTGCTGCTGTCAGCATATGGTTGACTAGTTTGCGTTGGAGGTTCGGTATGTGCGTTGTGTGTACGAGGAAGAGGAAAGTTTCGGGTGATTGTGGGAGTTGATGGCCTGTGATAGCTTTGATTAACCCTCCCAGCCTCTGCCAGTAGGTTTGGATGGCCGGACATAGCCACCAGATATGAGCTGTAGTTGCCTTGGGTTGCCCGCACCTCCAACATGTATCTGGCGCTGTTGGAAAGATAGCATGTATCTTAGCAGGTGAGTAATGCCATCTGGAGATTCTTTTGTATGTGCTTTCCCTTACTGCGGTGCTAATGGACGTGGCATGGGAGTACATGAATATTTTGTGCCATGTTCCCACTGGAATGGTAATACCCAGCTCAGTCTCCCACGCCGCTGTGAATGAGGGGGGAGGGGCGAAATTTATGGTGTTAAGGAGTTTGTAGAATATAGATAGGTGCTTGGTTTGTAGGCTGTGGGTAGTACAGTAGGTTTCGTATTTGGTGTGTGCTCTTGTTCCTCGAAGAAGGTGTGGTTCCCCCTTCAGGAAGTGTGTCAGCTGAGCATATTGGAAATATTGTTGGGTAGTTGGGTGGTCTGTGGAGGTTAGAGTAGATAGTGGAGCTATCCCCGTTGGTGTGATGACCGTGTTAACCATCAGGTATCTTGTTTTTTGAGTTGGTGGAAACTGATGGAAGAACTGGGGGCGTAAGCCTGGTAAAAATTTGGGGTTGTGTGCCAGAGGGTAGAAGGGTGAGGGATGTGGTGAGATGTCGTTCTGGAGTCTAATGCGTGACCACAGACGTAGTGTGGGTATAATCGTTGGGTGGTGTGAGTGTTGAGGCAGGAGGAGTGAATGACCCTCGTCCTGCCATGGGATCGTATATAGAGGGGATTGGAACATGGAGCCCTCTATGTGCACCCATTGTTTGAGTGGGTGTATTGCAGACCATTTGTACATCCTAGTTAGTATGACCGCCTGGTAGTAGCGTTCAATGTGGGGTAATCCTAGCCCTCCCTGTTCTCTATGCCTGGTCAGAATCGAGTATGCTATTCTCGGGCGCTTGTTCGCCCAAATGAAGGTCGTGAAGATTTGTTTGAGTTTAGCAAAGAAGGAGGGGGGGGATTGTGATGGGGAGTGTTTGCAGGAGATACAACACTTTAGGTAGCGTATTCATCTTCAATATGTTGATCCTACATAACCAGCTGAAGACCGGTCTCTGTCAATCCCCTATATCTTTCGATATTGCCGCGAGTAGTGGTATAAAATTCAGGTCATATGTGTGCTTTAAGTGTCTGGGTAGGTGGACCCCTAAATAGGTGATGGACTTCTCGGCCCATGTGAAGGGATACATGGCTTTAAGTTCAGTTTGTGTGCGTCTGTCCAATCCGAGGGGTAAAATTTCACTCTTTGTGTAATTGACCTTAAAGTTGGATAGTTCAGCATATGCCTTCAGTTCTGCAATTAAAGGTGGTAGGGAAGTGAGTGGGTCTGTGATGGAGAATAATAGATCATCTGCGAATGCGGAGACCTTAAACTCCTGTGGATGGACAGTGAATCCGTGAATGTCGTCGTGGTCTCTTATTCCCTGCAGAAAGGGTTCTAAAGAGAGGATGAAGAGTAAGGGGGAGAGAGGGCACCCCTGTCTCGTGCCGTTTCTAATGTGTACTGGCTTGCTAATTGGCAGTTTATTCTCAATTTCGCCGTCGGGGTAGAGTATATGGCTCCCATCCATTTCATCCAATTTGGGCCAAAGCCTAAGGCTTGGAGTGTGGCTGTCAGCATTTTCCAGTCTACTCTATCAAACGCTTTTTCTGCGTCTATGGATAGAAGTAGGCTCTGTCTTTGAGTGGTATGGGAGAGGTGTATGAGATTCAATAGTTTAGTTGTGTTATTTTTGGCTTCGCGCTTAGGGACGAAGCCAGATTGGTCTGGGTGTATTAAGGTGTGTAGGATCGGTTGTAGTCGCATGGCTAGAATTTTTGTGCATATCTTAAGGTCTACATTGATGAGCGATATTGGGCGATAACTGCTGCATACAGTTGGGTCTTTACCTGGTTTCGGTAATAGCGTGATGTGTGCTTCTAGTGCCGACGCTGGGAGTGGGGCCGGATCAGTGAGAGCGTTAAATGCCCTCAGGTATGGTTCCGCCAGAAGTGTGGCGAATTGTTTGTAGTATTTGGCCGTTAGGCCATCAGGACCTGGGCTCTTGCCCAGCGGTGTTGATTTGATCGCACATTTTAATTCGTCTTGGGTAATAGGCATGTCTATGGAGCGGGCTACTTCTGCAGGGATTGTGTTTTTGAGCCTGGTGGAAAGAAACCCGTCTATGTCGGCTGTGGAGGGGGGTGAGTTTCTGAGGTTATATAGTTTGGTGTAGAATTGTTGAAAGGCTTCCATGATATCTGGAAGGGTGCGAGATAGTGTGCCAGTCTGTGTCTTGATTTTGGAAATGTATGTGTTTTGTCTGGACTGTCGTAGGGCATTGGCAAGCAGTTTGCCGCATTTGACTCCCTTTGCGTAGTAGGAGTGTTTAGTGTTTAATAGCTTTTTCTCGGCTTGGTGTTGCAGTAGTTGTGTCAGTTCTGCGCGTTTAGTTATGAGAGTATTATATGTTGGCAGGGAGCTGTCCCTGGTGTGGGTATGCTCCAGGGACCTAATTTCCCGTGTGAGTGTATCGATTCTTTGTGTCCTTCGTTTTTTAAGGGTAGCCATAATTGCTAGAAATTCTCCCCATATGACACACTTGTGTGCCTCCCAGGTTGTGATGGGGGAAATCAATGGTAGCGTGTTTTTCTGGAAGTAATTAGTGAGAGTGGTTTCCACTCGCGATGTAATGGTGGAGTCGTTGAGTAGGAAATCATTAAGTTTCCAATGAAAAGATGTTAGCGGGAGTGTAGGGATTTGTACGGCAAGAGACAGGGGTGCGTGATCCGACCAGGTGATCGGGCCGTATGTGCAGGAGGTGGCCAGATGTAGGTAGTCCTGGGGAAGGAATAGCATGTCTAGCCTAGAGTATGTGCCGAAGCCGTGGAGTAGAAGGAGTAGTCTCTAGTTTGAGGGTGCATGGTTCTCCAGCAGTCATGTAGCCTAGCCTGATCGAGAAGGTGTTGTTACGGGCAAATGCAAATATTACAAGTTTTACTGCAGGTTTCCTATTACAAGGTTTCCTTTGCAGTAACTGCAGGACCACCATCCAAATGGATGGTCCTGGGATTATCAAATGCATACTAAGGAAGTGAGACTAGAAAACGTGGCATCAGAGGTTGCACTTCGCACAGGATATATCCAAGTAAACCTGGTACATGCATCAACACATACAAAAACATATTTATAACCATGAGATGTTGGCAAACTTCCAATATATAGTAATTCAAAAAGTATGTTAGATATTAATATTTCAATAAACAGTACATCAGTAATGTGGCAATAAGCAAATGCTTATGATTACTAAACACATGAATTACAGTATTTCCCATATTGGACCACCAATATTCCTTTTCAGGAGTCAGAAGTACATTACCTCTCTCTATAAGAGCTTGTCCTAGCCATGAAAAAGCTTTTAGGGCAAGTTTATCTTTCCTCTATAGGAAGAACAACCAACATATTACCTTCAATGGTTATTATGTAATTAACCCCTCTAAACGATAGGAGTATTTATGCGGATACCAGGTGGATAAGGTCTGGATATCCTTGCAAGCATAAACTCTGCATCATGACTGAGAGAAAGGGTATGCTTTTGTGATCCAGTGACCACAGAAAAGCGTTGGTAGACACATTGCATCAAAGTGCCTGTTACAGACCAACTACATGAGGAGAGGGCCCATGCTTTGTTATAAGCATGTCCATACACGTATTACAATGCCAGGCTTTCAATTTGTTTCCACAAAGCAAAATGCAGTTGTGGATATAAACTCACAACGTATCGTAAGAAAAACTGTTTGAATACCAGACTGAGATTCGAGATCAGTGAACAGTGGACCAAACTAAAACTTGTAATATTTGCATTTGCCCGTAACACCCTCTCCATTAAACTGTGGGCATTGTAGCGCATTTCTTCCTTAAATTAGTAAACCAAAGTTCTCCAACTGTCTTTAGGTTTTTTATGCTCCCAGCATCTTAGATCATTGTTGTAACAGTAAAATATCCATAGTGTGATCTTTGCCTGTAAAGGTGGTTGATTAAAATGAGCAAAGCTTTTGTCTGGGAAAGAATTGAAAAGAACACCAAGTTCCAGAGTAAGATATTCTTGGATGGATCCGGATACGAATTGTAATCCAAAGTTAAAAGTAGTAATTGTCGGCTGATGTGTCGGACACCTACCGCATCAACTTCCCACCCCTCCTCGACCGCATACAGAAGGACCTCGACTCATGGCAACTCCCGCACATAACGTGGCTGGGTAGGATCAGTGTCCTCAAAATGAATATCCTCCCCCGAATCTTGTATCTCCTACAAACCCTACCAATCCACATTCCCAAAACCTTCCTAACACAAACCCGTAAAACACTGATGGCCTACGTCTGGGCCCGCAAAACGCCGAGGCTGAATTTCGCCACCCTCACCAGACCCAAACTACAGGGAGGCCTGGGACTACCCGATATCACAAAATATAGACATGCTATACACCTCCAGCGAGTGATAGAATGGACACAAGACCCGAAAGACAAGCTATGGATCCCCATAGAGGCCAGCTTCTCACGGATACCCCTGACACTTCTACCCTGGCTACCGAAATCTATGGCCGGGGAACTGCCACGGAACCACCCAACCCTAAACGCTACAATGGCAGTTTGGAGGAGACTGGCGACTCACACAGACGTAGCCCCGGAACTCTCACCATTATGCCCCATATCTCACAACCCGAAATTTGCCCCTGCATCGGACCCCCACTACACGGCTGCCCTGGGCCTGCCGACCCCCTGCAGAGTGAAGGACGTCTATGACCAAGGCACAATCACGCCCCTGACCACTCTGGTCCCGAATACCCCACACAATATGCTCCTACGCTTTAGATATCACCAACTGACAAGGTTTCTGAGAAGCATACCAACCCTAAATTCGGCAACGCGAGCACTCTCTGTATTCGAGACCATATGCATGAACCCCCCCCCACACGCGATATCGCTACTATATCGCATGCAAACCACCACCACCACTAACGCACCCCTCCCTTACTTCACAAAATACTGGGAAAGGGATCTAGGACACTCAATTTCAACGGAACAATGGACAACGGTGTTTACACTCACACATAAAGCCTCCATCTCCACCAAATTCCAAGAAACAGGATATAAAATGCTCTCCCACTGGTACAGGACACCGGAAAAACTTAGCATGATGAAACCCACAAATGACCCGGAATGCTGGAGATGCGGGAGAGAACTGGGATCCCTCTTCCACATATGGTGGTCCTGCCCCCTTATCCAGCCCTTTTGGGCAGAGATCCACAAGATACTCACAACCATAACAAAAGCAAACCTACCACTCTCACCAGACACATACCTGCTCCAACTTACACAGACCCCAATCAACAAATTTAAAAAAACAGCACTCCCACACCTAATAAACGCAGCCCGCAGCCTCATCCCGAGACACTGGAAACAACACATGGCCCCGACTATCAGAGAATGGATAACGAGAGTGGAAGACATCAGACGCATCGAGGAACTCATCCACTCCGCAACGGGACGCATACAACGTTACCATGATGCATGGTACCACTGGCTCCAATGGCTCGCCTCCACCGCACCAATTACGGGGACCACACAATACCTGACAGCAGAGGCAGATGGGACGGTCCAGACGGAACAGACGGACGACAATACGGAAGCTGAACCACCGACCCAACCAAACCAAGACGACCACTCAGAGCCGGAGATGCCCCTTGCCCCGGAGGCGGGGGGGGTTGAGGTGGGGACCCGGGACCTGACACCCCATCCCCTACCCTCCCGCACCTTACCCTCACCCGCAATGCCCTCACCCCATTAACCTACACTCCCATCCCACCCGCCCCCCACAACACACGTTAAAATACATGACCAACTGCCGACAGGCTGCCTTGAGAATGCCCCCTACACCCGCAGAAACGCCACCTCCCTTACAGGACAGACCATACACCACAGCACCCACAAAGACCCACCATGACCAACACATATCGGACAAGGGATGAACCAACCCAACAAGACTGTCCAAACGCCCAACACCCAAGTACACTACACCACGATACTAGAACCCACCCAACCCTCACAACCCGGGACAGCACCCGCTCGACCAATACACCCCCGACACTAATAGGATCCCCAAACAGACACAGAAAGACACCAACACAGAAGGGACACCCCAACAAGACTACACCCCGACGCATGACACACACACAGCCACCGCCCACACACATCAAAGAACAGCGACTAGCGCAAAGGGGACACCCACAACAAACGCGCACACAGGACAAAAACTACCTGACGGACCCTCGACCCCCAAACGCCCCACTACTCGACAACCACTCCCTACCCCCCACCCCAACGGATCAGTAGAGACGCTCTCAGGAAGCAGGGCTAGACAAGGTCACAGCAGGAGCACTAAAGTTTCTGCCTTATCGCAGTTTATCTGCTTCCCAACACAAACATACCAATTCATAAAATGACTGAATCTGAGTGTTCTCTATAGCTCTCATGTCTAAAACTTGTGAGAATGGCGAAAATATTCTCTTTCTATTTTTCTAAGACTAGTTCCTTCTTGAAAACTGTCAATGCTGAAAGATGTTGCAATGTAGGAATGGAATCAGATGCTCGCTATTGCTTTGTAAAATTGCTCTCTTCACATCAATACTAAAGATACCTTTATACCAAATGAACAATAACTGACATGTACACTATTTTTGCCACCTTCTGTATTGATGCATATAACTTTGTATTGCCAATCGTTATGATGTCAATAAAAGCAAATTGAATAAAAAAAAAAAAAAAAAGTAGTAATTGTATTTGTAATCCAAAGTCTTTAAAGGCCTGTAGACGTTTACATTCCTTAGATACATTGCTGGAGGTTGTGTTTGTAGCATAGCCAGGTATTTGTTGTAGAGTATAGGTTGTAGAGTCCAGCTTTCCAAATATTTGGCTAGAATTGGTCGCAGATATTGAATCCGCATAATCGGTTATCACCGTGGTAATGGCGTTGGTATTTGTCTTTGTCTTGCTTTTTTTATTTTGTTTTTTCCATGAAACATTTTTACACCATTTGTGATGTGTATAGATTGGATACTCTCTGATATTCTTTTACGGAATAAATTAATTGACAGCATTTCCAAGACATTGTCTTAAGTGACATGGATCCCATTATAGTAAATGTTATGTTGATACAGCAATCGAAGTGGATTCTCAAGAACGCCTCTTTTTGCTGTTTTGGAATCTTTGTAACATCTCAGTGATAGACATCTCACTGACATCAGGTGCTGATACCTGCTTCCTTGTAGCAGTCTGGTAGTGTGTGGAGTAGGAAGTCGTGTCGAGGGCAGAGTTTAAGGACATGTTTAGGTCACCACCTAAGATTAACATGCCTTCCATGAAGGATTCAATTATGCGGAGGTGTTTCTTAAGAGCCTTACCCTGGTGTCTATTGGGCAGGTATGTGTTAGCAAAGGTAAGCATGGTTTGACCTATCTGGCCTTTCACCAGGATCAGCCTGCCCCCATCGTCCGTTTTGTGGTCTTTGTACGTGAAGGGGGTGTGTGCGGAATATAGTATAGCCACCCCCTGGCCTTGGTATCACTGTAGTTGCTGAAAAAACCTGTGGGGTATGCCCTGTTTTTAAGAGTAGGGGCTTTGCCTTTTTTTAAATGGGTCTCTTGTATAAAGACCACATCTGCTCTGAGTTTATGCATTTCCGTGAGGGTCATGGATCGCTTCTCAGGGGTATTGAGACCTTTAACATTGAGGGTGACTATCTGTAGAGTGGCCATTGGGCCCGGGTGTGTGTGTGGCCCTTGCGGGGGGTCTGTCTTGTTCATTGTGGGGCGAAAGGGATGGGGGTTGGGTTGGTTGTAGAGTTGAGGGAGTAACAAAAGAGAAGGGAAAAATATATAAATACAGTAAACAACTTATATACAAGCAGATATTCAATAAGTAAATTTAATTTATAATTATCCCCCTAGGTTGCAGGTAGGTGCAGGTTTAACCAGACGCCTGTCAGCAGCTTGAGGGGAGAACCTCTGGTGTCGGACCCAGAGTGGGATTTTGCCATCTGGGTGCGTCTGTGACACCGTGGTGTAGGTCGTATCGACCTAGTACGATGAGAGTTATCAAGTACGCATATGATAATAATTAAACAGTGGGGGAGAAAGGCGGGGGTGGTCTTAGGTAGCTGACGTCAACCAAAAGCTCCCATGGTGGAGCAGAAGTAGTATTGGTCTACAGTCAATCATAATTTACAACACAACAAACATTCAGTCATATTTAGCGATGATAGGATTTAAACATATTAAACTGTGCCATTGTCTATGTCTTTTTTTTTTTTATTTTAGTTGACGGTTGTTCTTAATCTGTTTAGTGGGCCTATAGGTGGGACTCCTTAGCTGTGCCACGGCTGTCCGCTACTGGCCTGGCCACTGGGTCCACAAGGTGGGGGGTTGATTAGTGCTATAAAAACCTTGCTGTCTGGCCTGTAACCATGTCCTCATTGGAGGTAGTTAGCGCTGCGAGCCGTTATATGAGGTTACCTGATTCGATGTTATTTACAAAAAGTTTGATAGCGGGAGATATTAGGCTGGGTAAGTCTAATAGGGGATAGTAGGTGAAGGTGAGGATTTATTGCTCCCTGCTGTAGTGAGCGCTTTATTGCGGTATGCAAGCAGCGGACGGTTGATACAGTCACCTGGATCGCAGAAGGTGCGCCGGAGATTGGGAGGAAAAGTGGTCCTCTAGAGTACAGCAGCGTAATGACAGTGTCTGTTTTAGCAGGTTTTTGTGGTCGTCTGGAGCAGGTTTCGGCCAGTAGTAGGTGTCTTTGAGGTTTCAATAAAAGTAGAGGCTGCGGGCCCCAGGACCTGGGCCGACAGCAGTTCATGCCGCGTGCGCCGGGCCAAAATCCATTCAATGTTGCATCGGGTCTCGGTTGTCCATTTTCTTTTTCTTGGGTGCTTGTTGCCATCTGGGTCTCTGAGGGAGTAGTGGCGTTTGCAGTGGTCCATACCAGTCTTGGATGTGCGGATCTGTTAAGTTGAGAGTTTGTATAAAGAGTGGAATGTCTGCATGGGAGTGGATGGTGTGCTGGGCGCCTTTGTGTGTGACGCTCAGCGCAAGTGGATATCCCCACCTCTATCTTATATTTCGGGATCTCAGTTGATCTGTAATAGGTCGCAGGATCCTTCTCGCTTGAAGTGTCAGCCAGGAGAGATCTGGATAGATTGTGATTGGAGCTTCATAGAACAGGAGGGGTTGTGAATTTTGTTTCAGCGTGTTTAGTATGTCTTCTCTGCAGGTGTGATAGTGGAGTCTGCAGATGACATCTCTGGGTTTGTCTGTCGCTACACCTCTGGGTTTCAGTGCCCTGTGTGCTCTGTCTAGGAGAATATGGTTGTCTCCTGGTTTTCCCAGTATAAGGTTGAAGAGTTCGTTTAGGGTTGCATAAATATCTTCCTGCTCATATTCTGGGAGACCCCGGATCCGCAGGTTATTGCGGCGCCCCCTGTTGTCTAGATCATCTATAGACCTATGGAGCGTGGATAGGTAAGCATTTTGATGTTCTACCGTTGCCTGTAGGGAGCTTAATTGTGTTTGTATAGCGTCCCTATCGTCTTCTAGGATGACCACCCGGTCAGAGACCTGGCGGACTTCTGAACTAAAGGAGTCCATCTTGGCCTGGACTGAGGCTTCCAGCCGGGTTAGCATACCTGCAATGTCCTGCTTGGAGGGTAAGTTCCTCAGGATCTCCTTCAGGTCTCCTTCTGTTGGAGGGCCCGAATTGTATGAGTCCGCCGGGCTGGAGGGGGACATGCAGAGAGATGGGGAGTCAGCCGCCATGTTGGGGCCTAACAGGCCGGTGTTACTATCCGCCCGGTCGCGGAAGTATTTGGTAAGCGCACCTGATTTCCCCGACGGGGTTTTACTGGGGGCTTGTTGGGATGATGTGGCTCGTTTAGGGTGACCCATCTCTGTTCTGTGTTGCCCGATTAGGTCGGATTGTGTCTGGCGTGGTCGGAGCTATTTCAGATCGCGGCCATTCAGTAGCTTGGTTGGCCCCGCCCCCTTCAAGATTGCAAATATTTTATAGCATATGTCATCTGAACTATCTTATTGCATGTAAAACTCAAAGTACAATTTAAAAAAATTTAAATAAATAAATCTGACACTGATAATACCACCTATTCAAGCAAGAATTACACATCTTCACTGTTCTTACTGTAAATAACCCTTTCCTCTATCTTTGACCAAATCTCATTTCTCCCAGTCTAAATGAGTGACCTTTTGTCCTATGTATAGTCCTATTTGTGACCAGATTTCCAGACAATGGTTTTGTATTGCTCCCGGATCTAATTGTATACGGTTATATCTCTCTCTCTCTACGCTTCCGGCAATAGTACTGCTCCTCTGGCACTGCCTCCATGCTCCCTTGGCGGCCACCTTAACTAAAGAGCTGCCAAATCCTAGGCACCAGGGCGAAATCTCTAGTTGCCGTGGCGACCGGCCATTTCTTGAGCACTGGTGTTTGTGCACTAGCGCCCCCCCATCAGGTGACATCTGAGGGAGTTAAGTGCCTCGGGACATCAGCGATAGAATTGGGTACAGTAAGGGTTTATTAACCCATTCACAGCGGAGGGGCCGCTAAGGAGTTATAGTGCTAGAAATTCAGCTTTGTATTCCTAGCACTAGAGTATCCCTTTAATGAAATCAACATCGAATCTAGTAACAGGCCTTAAAACAATGCACATTAGAAAAAAAAAAAAAAGTATTTTGAACCCATTCCCGTATACCCTTGACCTCACCGTCCAATGACGCCACACGGAATCTCATCTGGTTCCATAGGAAGGGACAGTCTCACACCTAAAATGCAAAAAAATACAGTTAATGGACAGGTGAAGAAAAAAAAAAAAGCAGGAATATAAATTCAAAAATTAGACTCTGTTTTTAAGATTTTTGGGAACTGCACCATTAGAAGTAAATTAGGTTCACAAATGTTTTAAAAGAGGAGTAATTATTTAATACAAATGGCTTTTATATAAAACTTTCTTATAAATTTTGAAGATAGACCGAAGACCAAAAAAAAATAAAATAAATAAAATCAAACCTTTGGAATAAAACAGCAATCTGACTACACCTATAATTCAAACTCATATTCCAAATCCAGAAACTGTACAGAAGAGAGTAACCGATTTTGAGTTTATTGTAATGATTATGGTACTATGAATCTGCTCTGTGACCTGTGCCTTAGGTTACTGTCAAACAGACAAAAATTTACACTAAAATATACTTCTACTACTTATATAGCGCAAACTTATTCTGCAGCGTTCTGCGATATTTAACCATTAAACAATCCTGTCAAAACACGTTTGACATACAGGAACAGAGTTAAACATGTTTTGTCAGAATGGTCATACAAGCTTTAACAGATGATGCAAAATAATAAAACGAAAGCTCTGTGTGTCAAAAACCAAATAAATTAAAATTAAAAAATTATATCTAGAATAAGAGTTGATACAACAAATCATAGAAAAAAATGGAAAGGAAAATGCTCTTGCACTAAAAGCAGTACCAATAGTTCCTCGTTCCCTCACCCTAGTAATTATCATCACATTGTTTACAGCGGTATATAAAGTACTGTAGGCAAGGAAAAGACTTGTTGACCTCCACTGCAATTTAACTTCGTTGAAGAATTCATGGTCACACGGTGCCTCAGGTGTACTTATGCATCTAAAAAGGTACAAACAACTGTGTGGCAAAGGAAAGCTAGCATCAGTGAAATAAGTGGAGCGATATATTAAAAAAAATACACTTATGCCTATTAACAGTAAAGGTATCTAGTGTTTAGTGATATAGAAACAAAAATAAAGTGTAGTAAATAATATATATGGTGCACTAAATAAGGTAGCTGCACTCACACAGAACAGAGGCTTATGGGGATAGGCTCAGATCACTCAGGTAGATGTGTGCTATGGTGACACTATCCATCTTCTGTCTTCCAACTAAAACAGCTCAAAGGAAGAGTTAAAAACAATGCAGAAATATCTAGTGCATTAAGTTTGATGCTAAAATCACTGGACCATGGCAAAGATGACTGCTAACTTTTAATAAAGTCCTTAGAAACCTGGCACTGGATAAAAGCCCTTATGTGCAGATAAGGGGTGGGGGCACAAACCCTGACCCAGCTGTGATGTAGGATGCCACAGGACCAAATGGTAGAGTAAAAAAATCTAATTTGCTAAAATATAGAGTAAAAACAAAAATAAGAATCAATTAAAGTTGTATATCACCTTCCATTAAACCGCTTCATTCCACGTGATTGGATACATTTTTTGGTGGCCAATAAGTTTCCTGAGAATTATACATGCATAAAGAAAGATATACAAATACATTTAGAAAAATGTGATTGAAATCCAAAGAAAGTAAGTTTCTTTGTGACTAAAATGACTATGCAAAAAAAAAAAAAAAAATCAAGTGAAGCTATGTTCAAGGAAGGGCCTCGTATTAACACACAGAAGGGGAACTATACGAACAGTAAAAATCATGCAAGACCAAAGATCCATTATGCTAGGAGAACTAACAAAGATACAAAAACACCCTTTAAAATAAAAATAAAAAATTACTTTTTGAACCACCTAAAAAAAAATTGGCATGCGAACAAAAAAAACAAAAACAAAAAAAAAAACTCTATATCCCAAGAGTAGATATAGGACTCCTGAAAGGGTAGTAATGAGAAAAAGAGTATTCCCCAATGGATAAACAGTGGACATGGTCACCTAAACAGGAAAAACCATATAAAGAAATATATATATATATATATTCATTCAACAAATTTAAAAGGACAGTATAGTCACCAAAAACAACTTTTGCTTAATAAAGCAAGCAGTTTTGTGTATAAATGCTTCTGAAGTGTCACTGCTAAATTCACTGCCATTTGAGTTAAATCAGCTATGTTTCTGTTTATGCAGCCCTAGTCACACGTTCCTTGGCTTTGATGGACACAGCCAGCATCAAAACAAAATGGTTTCATGTTCATTTAGATGTAACTTCCTTTAAAGGTTTTTACCTCCTGCTCTGTAAATTGAACTTTAATTACATATAGGAGGCTCCTGCAGGGTCTAGCAAACTATTAACAGAGCAGGATAAAATAACTTCCAAAATAATTTCTATGTTTCTAAAATAAACAGAATTTGCAGTAAAGGAAGTGCAAACATTAGATGACCCTTTACAGGAAGTGTTTAGGAAGGCTGTGCAAGACATAGCAAGGTAGGTGTGCCTAGGGTTGCATAAACAAAGTGGTTTAACTTCTAAATATCAGAGAATTGAGCAGTCAGACTGCAGGCGCATGATCTATACACCAAAATGTCTTCTTTAAGCTAAAGTTGTTTTGGTGACTGTAGTGTCCCTTTAATTATTTAAACCACTAAGTAAGAGTTGAGGATTTTTGGGACACTCCCATAAAAGAGAAATACAAAGAAAGAAAACTACCTTAAAGATCACCAGGGAAAAGGAGTAAAAAGGAATATTTTAAAAAGATTTTTATTATGGTTGTGGCTCCTGTATAGCATGTTAAAACACTCAGAGCAGGAAAAGAATAATAGGAAAGTTCGTACATCCTCAAAACAATAATGCAATTTTTAGACAAGTAATTACTGGTTTTGAGAAACACAGCTTGTCTTTACACTATGAATTTAAATTTAACAAGTACCCAAGTAATATTCAGTTTTTAGGCAACAAAAAAGTTCAAATAAATTGAAAGGGTTGAGGATATAATAAAGAAAATGAGACAGACATTACGTGGATTTTCCATGTAAATACCTTAGAACCTTATGGATTGCATAATAATTTCTAAATTCACTGCCATTTGAGTTAAATCAGCTATGTTTCTGTTTATGCAGCCCTAGTCACACGTTCCTTGGCTTTGATGGACACAGCCAGCATCAAAACAAAATGGTTTCATGTTCATTTAGATGTAACTTCCTTTAAAGGTTTTTACCTCCTGCTCTGTAAATTGAACTTTAATTACATATAGGAGGCTCCTGCAGGGTCTAGCAAACTATTAACAGAGCAGGATAAAATAACTTCCAAAATAATTTCTATGTTTCTAAAATAAACAGAATTTGCAGTAAAGGAAGTGCAAACATTAGATGACCCTTTACAGGAAGTGTTTAGGAAGGCTGTGCAAGACATAGCAAGGTAGGTGTGCCTAGGGTTGCATAAACAAAGTGGTTTAACTTCTAAATATCAGAGAATTGAGCAGTCAGACTGCAGGCGCATGATCTATACACCAAAATGTCTTCTTTAAGCTAAAGTTGTTTTGGTGACTGTAGTGTCCCTTTAATTATTTAAATTATTTAAACCACTAAGTAAGAGTTGAGGATTTTTGGGACACTCCCATAAAAGAGAAATACAAAGAAAGAAAACTACCTTAAAGATCACCAGGGAAAAGGAGTAAAAAGGAATATTTTAAAAAGATTTTTATTATGGTTGTGGCTCCTGTATAGCATGTTAAAACACTCAGAGCAGGAAAAGAATAATAGGAAAGTTCGTACATCCTCAAAACAATAATGCAATTTTTAGACAAGTAATTACTGGTTTTGAGAAACACAGCTTGTCTTTACACTATGAATTTAAATTTAACAAGTACCCAAGTAATATTCAGTTTTTAGGCAACAAAAAAGTTCAAATAAATTGAAAGGGTTGAGGATATAATAAAGAAAATGAGACAGACATTACGTGGATTTTCCATGTAAATACCTTAGAACCTTATGGATTGCATAATAATTTCGAACTTTGCCATTCCCTAAGTCCTTTTATAGACTTTCAAAAAAATTACATTAATCTAATTTAGCTTTTTGAATATTTGTTTTTTTAAACTAAAGTTGGTTACATATTTTTTGTTTCCCTTCAACTTTAGTTCTCTGCACATGTTGGTTTATAATTGGTACATTTTAATATTGGTCAATATAGGTTGTCAATTTTTTCAATGTATATACCATATTTACTCAAATCTAATGTGCCTATAATTTTAATGTACACCACAATTTTTTAAACCCGGAAGCTGAAAAATGTTTTTGCTGGCGAATGTAATGCGCTTTTATATAAGAAGATACTACTATACAACATTGTGCTACAATAAAAATGTTTATTGCCATATACCATAGTAACATTTATGGTATTTCAATTTTAGTGTTACATATCAAGTCTATTCTTTCTTAAACCCTCTTTCATGAACATAATTTGCCTGTGTGAATTCGCCAGAAAATTTTAAATTTTGCCCTGAATGTAATGCACCATCGAATCTAATGTGCATTCAGATTTTGGAAACTTTATTTTCCAAAAAAGCATTAGATTTGAGTAAATACTGTATACATCTTAATTTTTTTTACTAAATGCTATACATTATACACAGTGTACTTTACACAGTATGTTCTCATTTATTTTTATGGATTTTTTTTTTTTTAGATCGGTAATTACAGTAACATGTATACAATAGGAAGGAAGTCTGCATAGCAATCTGATACATCATTTCCAGTTTAACTATTTTATTTACTATTACCGCTTATATTTTTCACTTGTTTGGGGTGTTATTTTGTTATATATTATATTCCTATATTGTAACCATTTTATTAACTATACCTGATCTTATACATCTGCCCCTTTGTTTCACATTTTATTATTCAACTATTCTGTCACAACAACGAATCAAAGAAAAGAAAAAAGTTACCTGCGCTCTCTCCTTAATCCACAACAACGAATCATCCTATTTGATGGTTTAACCATTCAAATATTTACACTTTTAAATACTAAGAATAAGTGCTAGATATATACCCGTTTAATAAAATACACATATACAATTAATGGAGATTATTATTTATTAATACGTTATGTTCGGTCTTCAGAAGTGACATAGCTCTCTATCGGACATGTCACTTCCAGTTTCCGATAGACTTCATCTTTATGGTATGTAGTTATCAGGACTTTTCCCACACAAGCAGCGATTGGAGAACTTACAGGAGACGTATCCAAATCACGATTATTGAATGTTTTAAAAAGACTTTTAGTGGAAGCTGGTATATCTGATTGCAAGTTGACTAAACGCATCTGTGGGATCTCCGAAATTGATTCTAATTGATTTGTTTTTACACTATATTTTAGCAAATTTGATTGTGCAATCTACCATTTGTGGCATCCTACACCAGCTGGGTAACAATCATGAATGGTTTGTGTTCCCTTTATTAGCACATAAGTGCTATTACCTAGAGCGAAGTTACGAAGAGCTCTTTTAAAGGTGAGCAGTTTTCGGTCTCTTGGTCCAGTGATTTTAGCATCAAACTTAATGCACTAGATATTTCTGCATTGTTTTTACTCTTCCTTTGAGCTGTTATAGTTGGAAGATAGAAGTGGGACAGTGTCACCGCAGTACACATCCACCTGTGCAATTTGACCCTTTCCAGTATGGCTCTGTTCTGTGTGAGTGCAGCTAATTTAGTCACATTGCACCATATATATCAATTTACTACACCATATTTTATTTTTGCTTCTTTATCACTATACACTAGTTACCCTTACTCTTTATAGGCATAAATGTATTTTATTATAGTGCTCCACTTAGCTCACTGGTGTTCACTTCATTTTGCAGTCGTGTGTACATTTTGTAAATGATAGTGTGTATAGTTGGGGAGAAACTTACACAAATGTGGTAGCGGCTTTTCATATTTTGTTAAAGGACCACTATAGGCACCCAGACCACTTCAGCTCAATGAAGTGGTCTGGGTGCCAGGTCCCTCTAATCCTGCAGCTGAAATTATAGCAGTTTCAGAGAAACGGCTAGGTTTCACTGAGGGTTAATCCAGCCTCTAGAGGCGCTTCCGAGATTCTCACTGTGAAAATCACAGTGAGAATACGCTGGACGTCCATAGGAAAGCATTGAGTAATGCTTTCATATGGGCTGTTTGAATGCCCGGCGAGGGAGCCTGGCGCTGGAGAAAGGCAAGAGGTTTTAATCCCTTCAGACCAACGGGAGGGGGGGTGGAACCTAATGACCCTATAGTGCCAGGAAAACAAGTTTGTTTTCCTGGCACTATAGTGCTCCTTTAACATGCACCTATTTGTCACAGATGACTTATTTATGTACTTCTGCGTCTAGAGAGAAAATCAGTTCAAGAACATAACGTGACAGCTTCTCTAGCAATTCTTATTTATTGACTTATTTTTCCAGGGCCATGCTAATCTTCTCAGTATCGTTCCAATTTTAGTATATGTGCTGCTGAAGCAAGCACAACTAGCAATTCTTTAATTTATCTGGTGTGCCTGGTAAAGAATGTCAATAAAAAATAAAGAATATTATTAAAACAGATTAGCAAACCCATTGCTAAATTTTAGTTACTTATTTAGGTCTGCTAAAATGCCGGAAGGAGCATTTTTTTCTTTAAAGGTATAAAATAGCCCTGGTCATGGAAAATGTTAGACAGAAAATAAATAAACTGCCCCGAATCAGAAAGTAGCAGAGATTGTTCTTAATGGCAACACTACACGTAGTCCATAAAACCATTATTTTATTTATGTTCTTTCCAGAATTTAGTGACTTACAGCTGTATATGTATGCAACATAGATTCTTCCCTAGCAAGCTATAAAGACAACTTCCACACGTCACTTGGAACGTGTATAACATGGCATTTGTTCTGAGGAGGTAAGGAAGTGAAACCATGATGGGCAGGGATAACCCAGCTCAGCATCCGCAGTGGATACTTGAAACCATTACATAATAGGAAACATTCAGGCACAGAAAGCCTAGCGTTCATGAACACAACTGGAAAAACCAGGCTTAGAGACAGTGAGCAGGGAACCCTAAACCTGGTTACCAAGCTCTGGTAACATAAGGTATAATTTAAAGGCAAACTATAAGAAGCAAGCAATGATAAATTTCATTATTAGTCCATCACATTTCTCTTTTGACAAATGTATATATTTGGTCATTTTCTTGTCGTTGCAGTTCAATATTGTAAGTCATCTAAGTGGTACCCATAACTATCCACCTTTAGGAGTCATAATATGAGCTCTTAATCCGACTTGCATTGTTTGTAATGTATTATTCCCTTTTTAAATCTGTTGAAGAACTAGCATAGCACCTACTCCCTCAATTGTTCTGCAGCCTCCTGACCAGCACAAAAAGGTTGACAGATCAATATGCCCCCCATCTAAAAGTCCAATGTGATCAATTGAGTGAGATGCAGGCTGAAAAAATATTGGAGGAAAAAAAAAGAAGAAAAAAATTCTGACCTGACTGAATCTGCTACAACCCAGATCAAAATCTGTGTTTTGTCAAAAAAACTTCCCAATGTGCGAAACTGTGATGAACTGAAAACTGTAATGAAACATTTGTCATAGTGTCTGTACGGTGCATTACTGTTACTGTGCAGATCTGATAAGACATTTCTCCAGTTTCTTGCTATTATGTTATTTCGGTTGCTGTGCTTCCAAGCCATTATAATGCTCCAGACCCTTGACCATTATTATTGTTGCGAATATGATTGTGTTATAAACGACAACGCGCAGCCACAATTTGGCATCTCATGAATGATGCTGACTTATCACAGGCCTCCCCTCATTTGGCTATATTAGCTTGTTTCACTCTGTGTACTGCACCCAGTCATGGATTTCCCTTAGTGGTGATCAGAGTACATGGATTTCGAGTTATTGTATCTTGACCATTCCGTTGTCCCCAAACTTTGGCTTGTCTACAATTTCTCTGTTTTGTGTTAGGTCCCGACACTTTAAGGTCCTTTAATACGATCTATCCCTCTTATTTCAGTACTTCTCATTTAAGTTCTGCATGCTGGGTTCTAGAGAACTGTGGCAATACTAAAACAAAGTTGTGGCTATAGCAAAATTGAATTGTTTTATTTTATTTTTTTAGAACTGGGCTTTTTTTTTGACTAAATTTTGCAGTTCAGCGACTTGTAAATAATAAAAATAATATTAGGTATTTATATTTATCTTCAGAAAATGACAGTCATGACTGCTTCCTATCTGTTTTTTTTATACACCAAGAACAGCAAACTTTCACACACAACTATACAAAATTCCCTACTCTTTTACTGACAGCAAGACCCTCTGGATGTGCTTATGCTAAATAATTAGTACATTTCAGATTTGCATTAGGTCCACAATTGACCCAATTGTCATAAATAAATTAAAATCACATTGTTCCACCACCCACCAGTGATACGGTGATTTTGAACACAAAGAATGTTAACTCATACATGCTAAACATAGCAACTGTATTGTATATTTGACTCTATTCCCTTCCCCTTTTTCCATTCTGTATCCCCCCATTCAACTTTGAAAAAAAAAAATTGGCAAATTGAAAAAAAAAAAAAATCACATTGTTCCATAAGGGTTTAACATTGGTCTTTCCAGCCAGAGGCAGATACGCCTAGTCAGAAGAAACTCTGTCAAATATATTACCATACAAGATAACAGTTGGACATGGTAAGACATTGATCTTTTATTTAGATTGTATTCAGACATGTTGGATCTTGGAGCCCTGCCACAACAACTGCCACTTTGGTAACCTCATCGTTTAGCCACTGATGAACAGCTAACCACAAAAGTAAGACCTCACCTTATAATTTAATCTTTTGAACCTGGTTTCAGCCAAGTGTAACCCTTAGAAGGGCAGTTTGGTTAACTAGGTCTATGGATACTTTGTAAATGACGGGGAAATACAACAAAACATTTAAGTGAAAGCAACAGACTCAAACCTGCAGCACACGTTTCATTTTAACTTTTTATCAGTTACTCATTATGCTGAAATCACTAGTTGGCCTTTTAAAGTTTGGTTTTCCAATCCTATGCTTAAAGGGACACTATAGACACCTGAACAACTTTAGCTTAATTAAGCAGTTTTGGTGTATAGGACATACCCCTGCCGCCTCACTGCTCAATCCTCTGCCATTTAGGAGTTAAATCCCTTTGTTTATGAACCCTAGTCACACCTCCCTGCATGTGACTTGCACAGCCTTCCATAAACACTTCCTGTAAAGAGAGCCCTATTTAGGCTTTCTTTATTGCAAGTTCTGTTTAATTAAGATTTTATCCCCTGCTATGCTAATAGCTTGCTAGACCCTGCAAGAGCCTCCTGTATGTGATTAAAGTTCAATTTAGAGATTGAGTTACAATTATTTAAGGTAAATGACATCTGTTTGAAAGTGAAACCAGTTTTTTTTCATGCAGGCTCTGTCAATCATAGCCAGGGGAGGTGTGGCTAGGGCTGCATAAACAGAAACAGTGACTTAACTCCTAAATGACAGTGACTTGTGTGGTGTATCACCAAATTAATATATATATTACACAAGGTTCGTCTACATTAAAAGGTATTTATTAAAAGGCAACAACACAATACTATAAATGTATCACAAACACACAGCCCAGACCCACGGAGCAACAACCCTTTTTAAATCTATCTATATAGTAATCCCCTTCCCACACGTTTGATCTCACCCACGGTTAGGCCTTCACATCTAGTAATGGCTCACTGCTGCAAGTTCAACATCACATCCACCAAGGAAGAAAAGGAAGCAACAGAGTGTAACATGGTTCACCAAGATAGCACATGGCATCTGCACAACTGCTCTGCAGCACAGCCAAGAAGGAACAGAGAGGAATGGAGATAGGGGGAAGTGGTTATCTCTCTCCTGACTTGTAAAGGTATTGAAATACCCAATTACCATATCAAAGGGTAAAGCTTACCCCCCTGTAAGAAAGGCATACATGAGCTTGGTCACATGACCCCTGGTCACCATATTAGTTTGATGACAGAATGTCACCACAACTTGAGCAGTGAAATTGCAGGGGAATGATCTATACACTAAAACTGCTTTATTTAGCTAAAGTAATTTAGTTGACTATAGTGTTCCTTTAAGGATAGAAAAATGAAATCTTGCAAGCCCTAGTTTTGTTTGTGAAGCTATCAGATCCTGTTTGCAGAATGCTGGTCTTAAAATATATATATGGATTAAAACAGAACGATCATTCAGCACATTAGATTTTATTTCTAGTTCACTATCCACCCCAGAATAAAAAGTAAGGCAGAAAATATATATTTACTTCCTTCTCAATATTCCATCAATGCAGAATTTTCCATTGATTAAATACAAATTCAGGGACGTTACTACAGGGCTCAACAAATCCCAGGCGCCAGGTCGCCATGGCCACTTGAAAGTTTGCCCTGGCGTCTGGGATTAGTTTAAGCGGCAAGATGGGGGAAGTGGAGCCTGCCAGCTCAGTTAGCGTGCAGGCGGCTGCCCTGGGCTGCATGGAAGTAGCAGGTTGGGACAGCATGTGAGGGAGCAGTCTTTCTGCTCCCTCGAGCTGTATAGTGAAGCTGGGGCCGGAATATGATGTCATTCCGGCCCCAGGATCACTACAGGGAACAGAGAGAAGCCGCAGGTAGATTACTGCTCCCTCACACATAGAATGAGCGAGCAACCCCACTGGACCACAAGGAAAGACCCACTCAGCTCTCCCTAAGGTAGGGTCGAGTTAAAATTAAAAATTTGTGTGCGAATGTATGTGTCTATCTCTGTCAGTGTGTTTGTGTGTGTGTGTCAGTCAGAGAGTGTGTCTTTCTGTGTGTTTAGGTACCTGCACCCCTCAGATTATGAGAGAAGTGTTTTTGCTCACCTTCTTTCCCACGCTGTGCTGGTTTTGCCGAGGCTGGTCCTGTCTTGATGGCTGAGATAATCAATGTTTGAGATCTCTGCTAAAACAATGCTTTCCTACTGGAAAGCATTGGGAGGATTTTGCGCATCTTCTCTATAAGTAACATTCAGCACTCCTATGCAGAGTGTGGACTCTCTAGTGGCCGTCTGAATGACTGTCACTAGAGGAGTTACTAGGCAGCAATGTAAACGCTGCCTTTTTTTCTGAAAAGGCAGCGTTTACATTGAAAAGCCTACAGGGACAGACTATAGGCACCAGAACAAATACATTAGGCTGTAGTGGTTCTGGTGACTACCATGTCCCTTTAAGAATTGTATATTTCTCATAAATTAAACTTTGCTAGTTTAAAAAAATAAATAAATAAATAAATAAAAAAAGGCTCCTAACTTTTTTAGCTGGCTAATATATTTCAGGAACGGCCATATTTCTTAGTCAATCTCTTGTTTCATAGCAAGATATGTATAAAGCCTAGAACGTGTCCATCGTTTAAAGTTTGACATCAAGAAAAAGAAGTGAGAAATGGAGTTTGACTTCTTTCGTTAGGTCTTCCAGGCATCACTCCCCACCTCAACTATTAATATAGTGGAGGGTTTAGCTCACTGGATGAGACTGATCTGTAATCATTCAAAGTCAATGAGCTAAGCCTGCACTGCATTATGCATGACTAAGAACATGTAGACCTATAGGTTGCATATTTTTTCTGTATAGCACCTGCATTGTCTAGCCAGTGGATTATACTTTGAGCCAACACTGCACAGGAGCTTCTGTCTCTCCACTGCCAGAAGTGGAGTTGCACCCCCAAACAAGTAGTAAATTAAATTATTCTAAAATTGACTACTTAGAATGTACATTCTCCTGTAGAACCTTCTTCCAATTGTATTGGTGTTTTTTTTTGTTTTGTTTAGTTAAATTGTAAAATCTCTTGTGCAATTGTTGGAGGAAAAAAAAAAAAAAGGGAAGTAAAGATTATAAATGTCAAGGAAGAAAGGGGAGAAAAAGTAAAAAAAAAAAAAAAGATCATCTCCATAGCATAATCATCATGGTTCTAGAAGAGAATACAGAGATCGGGAAGAGAGATAAGTGTAAGAAGGGAGTTTGGATCCTATTATATAATATATTAGTAACGTTTTGTGGTCATGGCCCTATAAATCATAGCTTACTATACTCGCTTACTTCTCTAGTAAATAGCCTCTTGGCACGGTCTATGTGGTTTTTATTTTTTATTTCTTTCTTGGAAAAGAAAAAAAAAAAAAAGGAAAAGAGGTATACATAATCTGATTGCTTGAAGTATAATTAATATACATGTGAATGTGTTCTTATTATATCTTTGTCCAATTTTATTCTATGCTTTGTTTTTGGTTTTTTTTCCCTCTGTTGTTGTATTACATGAAAACATAAAGATTATAAATTGGGAGAAAAAAAAAAAAAGAAAACAATGGGGGAGCAAGGAATACATGTAGTGGTTATGGTACTTTGAAGAGTTTCATAAATCGTTAATGCTTGAGACACAGATGTGAGATATTTGTTAACGAATACCAAGATTACAGAAAGTAGAGCAGGAAACAAAGTAGAAGGTAGAACAAATAAAATGTAAAAATGTTTGTGTTGTCATAAACAGTCTTCTCAGATTATATTGTGAGATACTTGAAGACTTTGCAGCCAACAATATAAAGCAATAAAATGTCACAAAAGTATACCCATGCAGTTTCTCACCGTACCTCTCACAACAGTCGGACAATCAAATCTTCCCTAGAGCAGATATGCAGATAAAGAAAAAAAAATTAGAAAGAAAAAAGAAAAAGGGAGCTCTACTATACAAAATTAGTGAAAGATCTTTTATTTCTTGTGACTGAAATCCAAGGTAAATTATGTCCAATTCAGCAATTATTGTGACAGTCTCAAGTACCTGTTTGGCGTAGGCGCATCTTATGGTTTTTATTTCTAAGAAATAAAAGTAAGACTTTCACTTAATTTGTATAGTGGAGCTTCCTTTTTTTCCCTTTACCGGCATATTTGCTAAAGGGAAGATTTGCCAGTCATACTGTTAAGAGTAGAATTTTCAGGAATGGTGAGAAACCGCATGTATATACTTTCATGACATTTTATGGACTTGTTTTGTATCATTTTCGAGGTCAAAATTAGTTAGATACAAAGTATATGAGTCCCAGTATCTAACTCAAAACATAATGTGAGAGGACAGTGTACAACTTCAAAATTAATCCTTCCAATTTGCAGTTGAGAAACTCAATCTCTTTTCAGTTGTTGCTCGAACCATTCAACACAAGCAGCCCTTCCATTGGTCCACCTCTGAAGCCAGATATCTAAATATAGACATCTTAAGAAAGGTTAGCACCATCTAGGATTCCATATTTAACCTCTTACGGGAGAATATACAAGTCTAACAACTAACTTTCTTGGTGCATCCAGATCAACTTATGGAAGATCTTCCCATGCTTACTATACTTACACCAAGCAATTCCAATTTACATTCCTCCCTCATTCTTTATTGAGCTACATTTGACTATGATACATAACATCTAGCTCAAACCCCCCCCCCAAATCAATAGAATAAAATCTGAGCTGCCTACTGTCCATAAAATAGACGGTTGACAGGTTTACCGGATCAGGAATTTTATCAACATGCAGCTCTCTCAGTGAGAGTGGTGGAATGGACAAGGCCACCTGCAAAAAAACTGGAGAGAAGGGTTGAGCAACAAGCAAAATTGCCCACTGCAGTCCCCTTCCCTATATACACATCACCCAAGCCTGACCATTATCTAGCCACAAACCACACCTTAGTTCTCCAACTCTAGCATTTTTTGATAGCTACAGAATTAATAGTCTCTTCAGTACTGATAAATACAAGCAGATACTTAATGCAATACCATCAGGTAGGCGTCTGATTAGCCCCAAATGTATTCTGCAGCATTATAAGACCCCAAATACAAAGTCATTAGAGGAATTTGATTTCTTCAATGCACAGTAGTTACGTACTATTTAAAAAATAATCATAATTCAAATAGATTTGCTAACTATGTGCCTGCAATCTAAAAGTAGTGATAAGAAGCAATACAGTTGCCATTCCATTCTGCAAATAAAAACATAGTAAACTGTCAAACCACTAAGTTTAAAACTAGCCAGCAATGAAAACAAATAGTTTAGAATTTAGGGAATATTAAAATTGTGCATAAAGGGTTACTCCAACTACCATGACCACTTTCTGATTTTAGAAGTGGTCATGGTGGTAGGAGTTTGTAAGTGGAGCATTTTTGCTTGCAACACATACAGACAGGGCCGCCATCAGGGGGTGACAACCGTGACTGTTGTCACGGGCCCGGCGGCCCTGGGGGGCCCGGACTGCTCTGGCAGTCCTGGGCCCCACTTTCCCTTTCTGCACACATAGATAGCGCATATCGCTATCTATGTGTGCAGCCGCGGGCCCCCGCTCCCTGTTACCGCAGAGGGGGCCCAGCCAGGCAGCACACAGCTTCTCCTCCTGTCTTCTCTCTTCTCATAACTCTCGCGAGACCCGCGGAGCGTTGCCATGGTAACCGGGTCTCGCGAGAGTTATGAGAAGAGAGGAGAAGCTGTGTGCTGCCTGGGCCCCCTCTGCGGTAACAGGGAGCCGGGGGGCCCCCCACCGGACCACCAGGGATGGAATCTCCCCCCTCCATGGACACAGGTAAGCAGGGAGGGGGGAGAAACATTTAATTAAATTAATAAAAAATTAATGTTAAAATGCCCCTTCCCCCCCCTCACCCCAGATCACACACTAACAACACACACTACATACACTAACACAACACACACACACACACTGCATACACCAACACAACACACACTGCATACACTAACACAACACACACACTGCATACAATAACACACACATACACTGCATACACTAACACAACACACACACTGCATACAATAACACAACACACACACTGCATACACTAACACACACACACACTGCATACACTAACACACACATACACTGCATACACTAACACAACACACTGCATACACTAACACACACATACACTGCATACACTAACACAACACACACACTGCATACAATAACACACACATACACTGCATACACTAACACACACACATTCACTGCATACACTAACACACACATACACTGCATACACTAACAACACACACTGCATACAATAACACACACATACACTGCATACACTAACACACATACACTGCATACAATAACACACACATACACTGCATACACTAACACAACACACACACTGCATACAATAACACACACATACACTGCATACACTAACACACACACATACACTGCATACACTAACACAACACACACACTGCATACACTGACACACACATACACACACTGCATACACTAACACAACACACACTGCATACATTAACACACACACTGCATACACTAACACACACACACACACTGCATACACTAACACAACACACTGCATACACTAACACACACACACTGCATACACTAACACACACACTGCATACACTAACGCAACACACACTGCATCCGCTACACTAACACACACTGCATCCGCATCACACACTCTGCTACACACTAACACACTCTCTGCATTCACTACACATTAACACTGCATTCACTACACTAACACACACTCTGCATCTGCTACATACTAACACACTCTCTGCATTCACTACAAATTTACACACACTATGCATTCACTGCACTAACACACACACTACATTCATTACACTGACGCACTCTGCATTCACTACACACTAACATACACTCTGCATTCATTACACACTAACACACACTCTGCATTCACTAAACTATGCACACACTCTGGATTCACTATACTGACACACACTCTGCATTCACTACACTAACATACACTCTGCATTAACTGTACACACAGCATCCACTACACAAACATCCTGTATTCACAGTACACACACTACATCCACCACAAATTGAAACACTCTGCATTCACTATACACAGACACTGCGTCTAATACACACACTACAGACACCACTGCATCCACTAAACACATTTCATCTAGTACATACAAACACTACATCCACTACACAAACACACACTACATCACTGTACACACACTACATCACTGTACACACACTACATCCACTACTCAAAAACACTCTGCGTTCACTATACACACTGCATCCGCTACACAAACACACACTCTGCATTCATTGCACAAACAGTATCTAATACACACAAACACTACATCCATTACACACATTCTAATTCACTTCCACTATACACACACCACATTCAGTCCTGCATCATTGTGGGCGGACTAGGTAGGGCGTGGGCGGGCCCGCGAGGAGGGGGGGGGGGGCCCAGACCTTGTGCTTTGTCATGGGCCCCAAATTTTCTGATGGCGGCCCTGCATACAGAGATATCTAAACTTGCGTGCCAGTGGTGCAACTAGCTTCCAGCACACATGACTTAGGCAGCCCGGAAGATGCCTAATGTCAATTCTGTGCCAAGATGACATCTGTCGTCAGTACACATTGAGCGCTGGCGACATATGTAATGATCTTCTATTCTCCTCCACAACAGAGACAGAGATATATATATATATATATATATATATTATCTGTCTGTCTTTGCGAGATCAGAACACATACACGGGAATGCAACATTTCGGCACCCAAGACGTTGTCTACTATAGCTTCCATAATGCACAGCCATACATATATCCCACAATCAAAGTGAAAAAATAAATAAAAATAAGTGACATTCATAAAGTGCCCAAGTGCTTAATTTGTTTTGGCCCCTTCACTTGGTTCAATTCACATTAATTCAGTTGATAAAATTCCAGTGATGGTCACTGGGTTCTCTAAAAGTGGACTGAGATGTATGGGTCCAAAATAGTTTAAAATTTATTTTGAAACAGTTATAGCTTGACGCCAATTGTGAGGCAAGGTTGGGAAAATGTTCAAGGGTATCTCAGTGGGCTTATAGAGTCAGTAAAGTCATTCACACTACTTCATATCGAACTTTCAGGCTGATAGCCGATAACTTACCGATATTCTGTACATTTACCATTTTGAAAAAAAACAAACTATTTCTAAAGGTAAGTGCACAAAATATACATGCCATATGTAGTGGATGCAGTGTGTTTAGATAGGGGAGCTGTGTGTGTTTGTGTAGTGGATGCAGTGTGTATTTGTGTAGTATGTGTGTAGTGGATGCAGTGTGTATTTGTGTAGTGTGTATATAATGAATGCAGAGTGTTTGTGTAGTGTGTATAGTGAATGCAGTGTGTGGGTAGTGTGCGTAAAATGAATGCAGTGTGTGCGTAAAGGGAATGCTGTATATACCAAATGCAAAGTGTGTGTATTTGTGTAGTGTGTTTTTTAGTGAATGCAGTGTTTATTTGCATAGTGTGTGTATATAATGCAGTGTGTTTGTGTAGTATGCATTATATAAACACACTGCACACACACTTCATTATATACACACACTAAAACACACACACACACTGCATTATATATACAGTGTGTTTGTGTAGTGTGTTTATTTAATGCAGAGTGTTTGTGTAGTGTGCATTATATAAACACACTGCATTACATACACATACACATGTTTATGTGTATATAATGGAGTGTGTGTGTTTGTGTAGGTATGTAATTGATGGGGCATTTTTTATTAAAACTTTTTTTTTTTTTTTAAATATGTAATTATTATTTATTTGTTAGTCCCCCCCTCCCAGCTTATTACTTGGCCAGGGAGGGGGGGATATATCATTCCCTGGTGGTCCAGTGGCATGGAAAGTACAGAGGGGCCCCGCAGGTAGCGTTTACTTACCTTCCCAGCAGCTTCTTCAGCTATCCTGTGTAAATCTCGCCGATACCGATATTGCTGAAAATACTGAATATCGGCCAGACCGATAATCGGTCGATCCCTAAAACGGACACTATAGTATTAGGAATACAGTTAGTGTCCATCTGCGTGGCACTGGATCACAGAATTATGCTTCTTAAACGTCGGTGATGGAGGACCTAATGAGCATGTGTGGTGAGCACTGCACGCACATTAGGGCTTCTCCATAGGACAGCATTGAATCAATGCTTTTATGTTTTTTTGTTTTTGTTTTTTAAGACCATGAATGCCCTCATGTAAAGTGTATGGACGCCCAGCGCCATATCACGTAGTAAAACTCTGTGAAAACACCAGGGAGTGCCTCTAATGACAGCCACTAGAGGAGTTATTGCCATTAGCAAAAGGGAACCTACAGTCCCAAAAAACAAATGTTAAATTAAAGTACTATAGGCTCCCTTTAAGGTTTTGTATGAAATTCATTGGTCCGTACAAAGAGAATTGGCAACCACTTCTCGTTAAAGGAGCACTATAGGGTCAGGTACACAAACATATTTCTGACCCTATAGTGTTAAAACCACCATCTAGCCGCCCTGGATCCCTCTTGCCACCACTTAATATAGTAAAATCTTACTTGTATTCAAGTCTGAAGCTGCTGGCTCTGCCCATGTTTGCCTGGGAACTGCCCATGTCTGCTGACATCATCAGAAGTGGTGGTCTGAGCCAATCACAATACTTATCCATAGGATTGACTGAGACTGTCAAGGAGGTAGATCAGGGGCAGAGCCATCACAAGTCAAACACAGCCCTGGCCAATCGGCATCTCCTCATAGAGATGAATTGAATCAGTGAATCTCTATGAGGAAAGTTCAGTGTCTGCATGCAAAGGGTAGAGACACTGAATGTTGTGATGCACACTTGGCAGGATTGCTTAAAGAAGCCCCTCTAGCAGCCATCTAAGGAGTGGCCAGTGGAGTTATCCCTAGGCTGTAATGTGAACACTCCATTTCTCTGAAAATACACTGGTTACAGCAAAAAGCCTGAAGGGAATGATTTTACTCACCAGAACAAATGCAATAAGCTGTAGTTGTTCTGGTGACGATAGTGTCCCTTTAATATATTTAAATAATTTGCTTCCAATTTTGTTGTTTATGAATAGGCAAATTAGCAAAAGTATATAGAGATTTTGCCAATTTTAACAACAAACAGCTTAAAAGAATTGACTTCATGATTGAACTTGGACTTTTTTTTTTTTCTTCAAACTAGACAACTGACCTGAAGGTAAATATAGTCAAAATAACAAAACATGGCTTTTGCAAACAACCAAATTATCTTAGATCAGAACTGGCTTACCGTTCAATCTGATATTTAATATAGGAACCTTAGGACAATGTTGCATATTGTATATTGGAGCAAAATGCAGCAACAAAACAATATAAAGTTGTGTGATAAAGAAAGTAAACTCTTTGAAATCTATGATTTTACAGCGTAATATGTCATGTGATTCTTCCTCTGAGGATGTATTTACCTAATTTTAAGACCTGCTAAAGAACATGATTATTATGTCCAAATATGCAAAATCATAGAATTCAAAGAGGGAGTACTTTTTTCTCTCATGACTGTACATATTTATGTATACACCTGGGGTAAACTCACTCATGACATCAAACATTTGGTTTTGCTCTTCGAAAAGCCAGCAACATAACTTCTAAGGTGTGCTACAGTAAATATGTTGGCCAGAGCCCTTGGGTATCATGCAGCAGTTTAACAAACTGTTTAGGAGCAGTTTGACATACATATATACATATATATATATATTTATATATATTTTTTTTATTAATATACGCAAGTCCAAGACAGGTTTGCTCTGGAAACTGAAAGCAACCCAAGACTTACATGGTGATGTGTGTGCATGTTATTCTGTGCATCACCATCCCAAGGAAAACCTTAAAATAAATATTACAATATTAGCCTGTTATTCCAAGATTCAAGTATACACAGATCATAGATTTAAATCTTTTAGGGGAGGGAGGTAGGGAGGGAGAGAGGGAGAATATAACTGAATATGTGGTAATTTACCATATTAAAAAAAAAGGTCCTATTACTCCATATTTACCACTTTCTCCCCAAATATGCTATTCATACATATTTCACAAACTTTTTTCTTCTGCCAGAAAATATCACTACATACGACAACCATCTCATTAGTGAAAAGTCAAACTCAACAAAAAAGCCCCTGCCAAAAAATAAAAAATAAACTAACAAAATAACACCTTTATATTGTCCAAACACCCTACAATAACCATCCAGAGCTGCTGGACAATAGCTCAAATAACCATTCAGAATAATATTTGGAGTAATATGCATTTCCTAATAATTATAACTAGCCCACCCTTGTTTCGATGTGTTTGTCCTTAATATCTATTAATTCAGTAATATATATATAATTATGCAAGGCTCAGTATCTTGATCTCCCACCCATATGGTTTAAGAAGCACTAGTTTTGGGTGATACGTGTTGTTTACACGCATGCCCGATGCACAATGTAGTGTTAGGTGCCCATAGATTTCTAGCTCCCCTCTTATTTACTTGCCCCCTCCCCCCCGTTATACCCCCAAGTGACAGGTGTCTTTGTGGGTGCTTTCCTTGAACTATTGGTCTTTTAAGCCCTGCCCCGTACTGTGTCTTACCCCCCCACTAGGCACCGGGGTTCCCTCGCGGTACATGGCCCCTTTAAGAGCGGCTCCCGGTACAAGGCGATCCGTCTGGAGACAGGAGACGGACTGTGATACAGACAGGACGCAGAGTAGTGACGTCAGAGACGGCGTCGACCTACCCGCGAAGCCATGTTGGACGAGGCAGTCTTATGGGCGTGGCGAAATGCGAGGGATGGGCCGTGGGAAAGGGGGACGAGCATGCACGTGTCAGTCTGGGTGTCAGGCTGAGTTCAGCAGTTAGTGGTTCCTCCTCAACAGGGTTTGTTGTCTTGTCCCTGAAAGAGGACAGCTAATATGTTTTGACAGAATTGTAACAAGTAATTTACTAAATTTATCCCATTTTTTTCGCAAAAAAGAAATAGAACACCCAGCACAAAGAACAATGATACAGATAATAATTTAATATATATAACAGTACCTCTCCATACCAGACACACCAGAGAGGGAGTTAACCCCAGGGGTGTATGACAGGAGTAAACTATGTAGCATAATACCAGAGTAATGAAGTGTTACTGATAAAAGACATTGGGCAAATTGCCAAGCACGTCACAACGAATTTAAAGGGATACCAAATACAAAAGAAGAGAGGGAAAGAAAATAGGAAGAGAAGAATGAGAGAGAGAGAAAAGGGGGGGGCATTGACTGTACGGATAATACACAATGTAGCCCAATAACCAATCATTGCAACACAGATAACGTTGTACAAATAAACCATTACATTTACCATTGGTTTCGTATGGTCCTACATTCTTACCATATTTGACAGTTTCCAGAAAATTGAGGATCTAGCCTTTTTCCACAGAATAGGTGTGTGTATATGAATATATATTATTATTATTTATAAAGCGCCAATAGAAAATTCCGTATCGCTGTACAATGGGTGGACTAACAGACACGTAATTGTAACCAGAAGAGTTGGACGAACAGAAGGGTTGAGGCCCTGCTCAATGTGCTTACATGAGCAACCTTTTTGAGCCTGAGTGCACAAACCGCAATACATGCCAACTTCTTTCCCCTCAAAGTGCCAACACGGCAATTACACCTGAATACTGGGGTTTAGGTTTAGAAAAAACAACTCGTACAGTTGTCTGAACTAATTAACATCTTTTTTTTTTTTTTGCAATTTTATGGTTTTACAATGTGTACAGATTTACATTCTAACATGGTACATTGTTTAGAGTAAGCGTTACAATATGTACATGCTATCAGTTCACATTTTTGTGATGAAAGATTCTTCAGTTACACCATACCACCATACTTTGTTACATCATACATATAATTCTTTCAGCTCTTTATTCCAGATGAGCTCTAGTGGTGGTGCTGTTTGTGCTGGTTTCTGGTCTTAACTTAGAAATGTACTGTACGTTCCTAATGGTGGTTGGGTTGGTATGGGGGGTTGAACTTGGAGGTAGAACCAGGATACAGTTCCCCAAAGAACTGGAAGTAGGTGTTGCATCTACCCATTTTATATGTGTTATCTCATTTTGTGTCATTTATCTTGGTGCATCATTTGTGGTTTTCCATGACACTACCATTCGTTATTGTTCATTATTGTTCGTTATCGTTGGGGCCTTTACTTTGTATTAGTGGTTTTGGGGCGTGTGTTGGTGCCTGTTCCACCTTTCCCACGCCACCCTCCAGTATGCCTGTGGGGGGTCTATGCGCTCTAGCCGCCATTTCATACTTTTTTGTATCTTCAATTTGTTGAATGCATTCATTTATGTGCGGAGGTTTTGTTTGTAACCATTTTCTGCTTATACTTGTGAGTGCAATGGAAGTAATGTGGTATATTAAGTATCTGTCAGCTTTTTTAACGCTAGTTGGTAGGCACTGGAGGACAGGGCCGGACTGGGAAGAAAATTCGGCCTGGGCATTTTTTAATTACAGCGGCCCACTAAAAAGGGGGCGGGGCCAGGTAGGGTGTGTTTTGTCATCACCAATGACAAGCACGCCCCATCACAAAGTGAGCATGTTGGTTCAATGCTCTTCCAGGGTAGACCATGTGCAGAGCTCTGCTGAAGAGCTCTGGCATGAGAAAAATACCCTGTATTTGTTCTGCACAGCGCAAGCAAATTTAATAACATGCTTGCACTGTGTTTGCTTGAAATTTGTCTCTGGTGTCTCCATAGTTGGGATACCAGGAGACAAAAATGCCAGGAAAGCATATTGTGCAGTGTGTGAGGGTGCTCTCTCTCTGTATGTGTGTGTAAGGGGTGTAGTGTGTGCGTGAGTGATGGGTGCTGTGTTTGCGTGAGGGTGCTGTGTGTGTGATGGGTGCAGTGTGTGTGCTGTGTGTGAGTGGGTGCTGTGTTTGCGTGAGGGTACTATGTGCGTGTGAGGAAGCTGTGTGTGACGGTGCAGTGTATGCATGTGAGGAAGCTGTGAGTGTCAATGGTGCAGTGTGTGTTAGTGAGGGTGCTGTGAGTGTCAGGGGGCAGTGTGTGTATGTGTGTGTGCTGTGCGTGTCAGGGGTGCAGTGTGTGTGTGCTGTGAGTGTTAGGGGTGCATTGTGTGTGTGCTGTGAGTGTCAGGGATGCAGTGTGTGTGTGAGGGTGCTGTCAGTGTCAGGGGTGCAGTGTGTGTGTGTGTGTGTTCTGTGAGTGTCAGGGGTGCAGTGTGTGTGTGAGGGTGCTGTGAGTGTCAGGGGTGCAGTGTGTGTGTGTGTGTGCTGTGAGTGTCAGGGGTGCAGTGTGTGTGTGTGTGCTGTGAGTGTCAGGGGTGCAGTGTGTGTGTGTGTGTGTGTGAGTGAGGGTGCTGTGAGTGTTAGGGGTGCAGGGTGTCTGTGAGTAAGTGAGGCTGCTGTGACCTGAGTGATGATATCCCCCCTCCCTGCTTACCTTTAGCCTGGGAGGGGGGGATCCTGCTGCTGCTGCCTGATGGTCTTTGTAGTGCGTGAACTCTAGCCAGGCTAGAGTTCACTCTCGCGAGACCCGGAGCGTTGCCATGGCAATGCTCCGAAACTCGCGAGAGGAACCCGTTGGAGCTGTAGGTTAGAGCTCCTCCAGGTTCCTCTCCTGGCTGTCTCCCTCACAATATACTGTATGTGGGCCGGTGAGGGAAATCTTTGATCTCCCCACCAGCCCACCGTGGACTACTGCAGGCCCGGCCCTACAAAGCCTGGGCCTGGATGTGGTGTAAGGTGCACTAGGTAAAAAAAAAAAAAAAAAAGCTCTATACATTATAGTTTTGGCGATTCTCATTAACTTTTGTAGACAGCGTGTTTTATCAATACATTTATTTTTATATATAGTCTATACCTGTTTATTCCTTTGGTAAATCCCATTAACCTGTATAGCCTATACATTTATATACTTCTTGGTAAATTTACTTTAACCTACATTTGCTTGGAAATTATAGACCTGTGAGCTTAACTTGTTCAAACTCAAGGAAATCGGTCTAGATGAAAATGCTTGTTCTTGGGTAGAACATTGGCTTAAAAACAGAGTATAGAGAGTTGTCATTAATGGTAAATTTTCAAGCTGGACAGAGGTGGCAAGTGGTGTCCCTCAGGGGTCTGTTCTGGGACCCCTTCTATTTAACATGTTTATAAATGATCTTGAAGACCGCATTGAAAGTCATGTTTCAGTGTTTGCAGATGACACAAAACTTTGTAAAACAATACAATGTGAGCAAGATATTACTTTGCTGCAGAGGGATTTAGATAGACTGGGGACTGGGCACTCAAATGGCAGATGAAATTTAATGTTGAAAAATGCAAAGTTATGCACTTCGGTGTAAAGAATACACATGCAACGTATACCCTTAATGGAAGCGAATTAGGGATAACAACACACGAAAAGGACTTGGGAATTGTTATAGACAACAAACTATGCAACAATGTGCAATGTCAATCAGCAGTGGCCAAGGCCAGTAAGGTATTGTCATGCATGAAAAAGGGCATTCATTCTCGGACAAGAATATAATTTTGCCTCTTTATAAATCACTGGTAAGACCCCATATTGAATATGCTGTGCAATTTTGGGCACCTGTTCTGAAGAAGGATATTATGGCACTAGAAAAAGTGCAGAGGCGGGCTACAAAATTAATAAAAGGAATGGAACATATCGGCTATGAAGAAAGGTTAACAAATTTAAACCTATTTAGCTTAGAAAAACGTCGCCTGAGAGGGGATATGATAACATTATACAAATATATTCGGGGCCAATACAAACCATTGTGTGGAAATCTATTCACAAACCGGACTTTACATAGGACACGAGGCCATGCGTTTAGACTGGAAGAAAGAAGATTTCGTCTAAGGCAAAGGAAAGGTTTTTTTACTGTAAGAACAATCAGGATGTGGAATTCTCTGCCTGAAGAAGTGGTTTTATCAGAGTCCATACAGATGTTCAAACGGCTACTAGATGCATACTTGCAAGAACAGAATATTCAAGGATAGAATCTTTCAATGTAGGGTAATAACTGCTTGATCCAAGGATAAATCTGACTGCCATTCTGGGGTCAAGAAGGAATTTTTTTCCTAGCTTGTTGCAAAATTGTGCTTCAAACTGTTTTTTTTTGCCTTCTTTTGGATCAACAGCAAAAAACAAATGTGAGGTAGGCTGAACTTGATGGACGCAAGTCTCTTTTCAGCTATGTAACTATGTAACTTCTGTGGCTGGGAAAGTATCAGGGCCGGACTGGCCTACCGGGATACCGGGAAATTTCCCGGTAGGCCGCCAGCCCTGGGGCCGCTTTGACATGTGGCTGCACTCAGCCACAAGACATGAAAAAAAAATGTTCTGTTCGCCTATGCGGCCGGCGCAGCCACATCCGCGCTGCGCCGGCCGGTGCTGCTTCCTGTGCGAGCGCACAGATACTTCCTGTCAGCCGCCGGATGTGAGCGGCAAATGACGACATGACGTCACATCCGGCGGCTGCGCGGCGGCCGTACCTACTCCGATTAGATCGCGACCTCTCTTCCCTCCTGCAACATTGAGCTGTTGGAAAGGTAAGAATAAAGGGGCTTGGGGGGATCTATTGTATTGGGGGAGGGTCAGTAATGTATTGGGGAG